ACCGAGTAAATATCATGACCATATGATTCCCGATTATCGTACGTATTCTGATCAAAGAATTTGTTCTTGTGCTCACCTGTTCCACAGCTCCAGGTTGCAAGCGGACTGGTTCGTCGGCAGTGGTTGAACCTGGAATATATTATTTCTCATTTCATTAAATGCAGTCGCGGACAATGGTTACCTGAAAAGTCTTCATCGCCCTAACGTGACATTGAACTTCGACGGAATCGCTGAAATTGTGGAGAAGGGCATCCTCACAAAAACTGGTGTGTGAGCCCTTGATGATATCATCACTTTCCTCACATCATTTTAGGTGAAATATTACCATTCGATGTCATTGTATACGCGACTGGATTCACTGGCGTGAGTTGTTATATATGATCGAATATTTTATTGGATGCCAACTTCAGAAACAGGAGCGGTACCCGGTGCACGTTCGAGGCTTGAATGGAGCTACTGTTCAAGGTTATTATGATGCGCATGGTGGCCCTACCGCATACATCGGGACTGCAGTTCCTGACATACCAAACTTTTACTTGATAGCTGGTGAGTTCAGAGTGGAGCATGTCGTCATCAACTGTAGCCTAAGGTAATATCACAGGACCAAATACTGGAGCGCGTACAACGTCAACGTTCATCACGGAAGTGCAAGTAAGTACGCCTTGATTTTTGTATCTTTCTATTCAAATTTGTCGCAAGGTTGCATACATCCTTGAACTCATAGAGCCGGTCCTTACTGGTTCTGCCTCATATTTCACTATCAAAGCTACACCCACAGATACCTACAATGCCAAGCTGCAAGATCGTCTCTCTCGCTCGGTATACGTACACTGCCACTCTTGGGTGCGTACGAATGGTACAGACAAGTTATTCCACCCCTTTCCTTGGACTGGGATGGCTTTGTGGTGGTTCCTTCGTAGACCGAATTGGGACCACTATACGGCAGTCGGCGCCAAGAAATGGGCATTGGCAAGGCGGAGAAGGGCTGTTAAGAATATCATGAAATGCACTGCTGTCTTGATGCTATTGGGGTCATATATCAGCGGCCCTGCTCAGCGGGTTTTATATGACATGTGGTAAGTACTACATCATTGTTCTTGATGCCTATCAAATGAACGATATTTCTATCTTCAGGCAAGCGGCTATTACCGTGACTTGCAGCTACTCGAGTAAATTTGTCCCGCACTTCAATTTTTCCAAGTAGATGGGTGAAGTAGGTGTATGCTTCTGTTTTTCCAGCTCCACATGTAAATAAAATCCGTTACTATGGACCAAGTTGTGACACGCAAACTTCTGCTGGCAGTTGGGCATTACAACTGTTTGCAAAAGGGTTATCAAGATGTGCGATTTGAAAGAAAGGAATTTTTTTAAAAGAACGAATTTCACCAATGCTACTCAGTATACCGCACTGTAAAATCAGGATTATCGTGACCCCAAGCTTGTGGCTGTACATCTTTGGTGATGCCGCTCTTGTTCCACGGTCCTTTGTGCCGAGCCGCTTCGAGTTTATGCAGCACTTTTTGAACCTGACGTTAGACGATGGGTCGATCGTCGACTAGGACAACAAATCCAGAGACAACTGCGTACTGTGATTCTGCCCTACACTGTACTCTACCTCTCAATAAATCTGTCGCTGCCAATACGGAAAATTCGTGACTCGGAGCTGCGCCAGTTTTTCGGGAATGTGCTACATCACAACGGCCTCAATGTCTCGTAGGATGAGGCTAGCGCCCTCAGTCATTTGCTCCTGGAGACGATGCATGAAACTTCACCTGAAATATGCCGAGTCGCCTGGGCAAGCAACTACTCAAAGGAAGCGCTATAGACAAGCCGGCCGGGTATCAATAAACTCCCGTTGTCCAATTTCAAATTTCTCACGCGCTCGGAGCAGCAACACAAAATTGGAACCTTAGTTCTACTTAGGCTTGACTTAGGCCTTAGTACCCCGGTAAGCACAGAACAAGTCGCGCGCCCTCTTCAACATACCATATCAACGAACGTGCAACAAAGTATGTATGTGCAGTCATGAAATGACCTTTGTCGCTGTGGGCTGCGGACAAATGTCATTCAAGATGTGGCTAGTGACTTGGACTTGCCTTGGACGGTATATAAGTAAGTCTTGTCGACCATCATTTTCTTATAACCGCTCTTTTCTCCACGGGAAAGTTCCCTTCTGAATCCTCGTAACACCTGTAATCTTTTTGATTTCAACTTGCTACCTAAAAGGATTTCTGGCAACATGCAAATTCCTGCTCCAAATAACGCACTCCAGCGCACGAGTCCGATCAATAAGTTGCCTCTAGAGACTCTCCACGACATATTCAAGTTGGGCGTGTCCTGTCGCAACTCCCAAAAACGCATCGATTTTGCGGTCTTGGTATCGCATGTTTGCAGAAAATGGCGCAACGTCGCTATCAGCTCCTCCTCTCTGTGGACGGATATCACCATCACGAGCGATAATATGCATGATGTTGACTCGGATGTACAGCTTGCTATCGTCAACAAATCTCTTATTCGTGCAAGGGAGTTCGCCTTCCGCTCTGGAGTCTTTCCGTTGTTTGTTCGACTTAAATTGCTCACTATACACAACTCCAAAGTTCTTCGATCAGGCACAGGAATAATAATGGACTGGCTCCGCCTGGTGTTACCGCGCATCAAATATCTCTCGATCAAATGTAATTCATTAGAAGTTGCATGGATCATCATGAGTCGTTTAAGGGCAGCCCCAATGGAGAATCTGGAGACCTACAAAATGAAGTTTGGCACTACATTCGTATCCTTTGACTCGACCATACCGCTACTACCCACACTACGCTTTCGTATACTGGCTAGCGGACATGAAGAACAGTTCGCACAGGTAACGGACAATTTGCTCCCAAGATTGACGCGGGCCACATATTCTGGGATCCCAGTCTCATGGCCTCAATGGTCTTTAACGCGGCTGACATCCTTAACGATTAATTTCATGGCCTTGAATAACCGACCTTCGATGGATACGCTGAAAAACATCCTTACAATCAACGGAGAAACTCTGGAAAAGCTCGAAATCAAAGGCGCCATTCAGCGGTTTGGGAGGCTACCCGACGTGGACGAGTTGCCGTCGAACTTGCCTAGGCTCATTGACCTTACGCTCGGTTATTTATCCCAGCAGGAAGCTATAACTTTTCTCCTTCACTTCGAGACACCTGCGCTGAAGCATCTCAAGCTATGTGACGTCTCTCGCTCAATTCTCGCTCGGCCCCGGCCCCGACGCTTGAACAATCAGGATTTCCAGAACATGGATGCCCTTCGACCCTTTAGCAACTTTTCTTCAACGGAAATTCTCGAACATCTGGTTTATGTCTGGGCCCCACAACTTCAACGAGTTGAAACGCTTGTACTTGAACATTTTAGGCTACCACCCGTTTTCTCTGCCCTCTTGCAAGACGACGATTTTTTGAACCAACAACGTTATGACGGTCGTGTTTTTCTGGCTTACCGCATGTTACAGACATGTTTGCGCCTTCGAAGTCTCGTTCTCGTCAACCCGGAGGAGTGTCTCATCCATGCACTCAATATATATCCCGATCCCGATGATCCCCGCCCGGCCCCTGTGCTTACTCGCCTGTGTCTTGCTTCAGCTCATCGTGACCTCTTGATTCTCTTTTTGAAGCAAAGGGCAGAAAGCCTTGCGGAAGAAAAGGGTTCGCATGTTTTGGATTACCTTGAATTGGCGACGGCGGAACAAGATGTGGAGCATTTGTCGGAGAATATCGCATCGAACTGTATTGACATGAGCCGTTTTGCGGAGAGTTCGCTGGTGACTGAATGGCAGGGGAGCCTCACTACCTGAATCTAGTATACGTAGATCTACGAAAAAGGAATATGTTGTATTGCCGCTCCTAATACGGAACAATAATAATTGTATGATTTTTTTTGTTCTTCTTTACATAAGTGTGTTCGCTTGGCCTCGTTGGCAGCGCGCTGCTTATTGTTGTAACAAGGTTTATTGCTTGACTTGTCTTTTTGGCTTATATCAACCCACTTCTCCAACTAGTTCACTTCCTTCGTTGCCCAACTTGATTTTAAGAACAGCCTAGACAAGTACTGCGTACTTCGTCAGTCGTATTTCGATTTTGTGAATCTTATTGCCCCATCGGTTACCGCCTGCTCCTACTAAGCCGCTCACTTAAGACCTGTCTACCCTTTAATTTCCTGCTGCGCAATGTCTTCTACCGCGATCTCGACGATCACATATCCATGTCCTCCACCTACTACAAATGTCCTTGACTCACAACAGCGCATGCGTCTCATACGTTCTGCGCGTAAATTGGGGGCAGTTATGGGCACCACACCCTACCTCCTCGAGGCAGACGTTCCTATCACACTTCTCCCCGTCGGGGGTAACAAAAAATCAGTGACGGGCAAAGCCCTGAAGCGCCAGGGCTCCATATTCACGCATTACCACAAAGGCTCCCCGTCTGTAACATCATTTAGCTCGGCTTCGACGGCATCTTTCCACTCCCCGTCCGCCTCGCTTGTCTCACTACCTTCGAGCATGCAGAGCACAGAGTCTCTCTCGGTGACACCACCCGGCCTGCCAGCGCGCGGCAGAAAATCAGCAGATAAACCCAGACCATTGTATCTCCGCGTTAACACCATCCCTGTATTGCCCACCGACTCCCACCGTACATCACTACCGCCCACACCTTCCTCAGCTCGCGTATCCTCTGCTTGTTTTCCCCCTTCGCCTCGCACGCCAAGCTTTGATGCGGCGGAGTTGCGGAGAAAACGGATGGCAAAACTTGCACGTCATCTAGGCGAGAACGTGCCTCCTGAACTAGTCACAGCGCAGGTGCTGCCTGCTCAATTACGTTCAGAAGAAGACGTGCGCAACAGGAAGCGACGCAGTATGTCCGTCGACGTGCCCAACCCACAAAACATACCTTTCGCTCCAAGGCCTGAAGCTATCTCACATACTCGGGCAAACAGCGATTGGGTTGGCGAGTGGAATCGATCTGATATTAGAGACGTTCAGAGGGAACTGAGAAACCTCAAGTTTGTACCGTGGTAATGGCTCCACTTCGTGGTTTGGTTAGCCATCACATGATTTTATGTTACGCCTGTATTATGACATTCCACTGGCTGCAGGTCCAGCCGGACGACACGATTACTAGTCGCATTTTCCTATGTATCATGTTAACCTTTCGCATCACATTAATAATCCATACACTCGCAAGTACTACTGTCATTTGTAAAGCATAATACATACGTGGGCGTCGGTTGCGATTAAGTACAATGTATTCGGTATTCGTCGTGGTCCATGGATGTTCTTTTATGCGTGCCGATGCTCGGATTATAACACTTTATTTTTAGAATGATGACCCACTTTGCTTCCGAAACGGTTGACCTTGGAGCCATTTGTAAACCTACTGTCTTGTGGAAGGACCAATATCCTGGATTCAGTCCGACAACGACATGAAGATCTCCCTTCATCTGATGGGGTCAGAATATCTTTGCACTCGCGCATCACCGGTTAGTTATCCAAGGTTCCTATACTATCACCTTTCCTACGTAAACGCGGAAGAAGGATCGTAGTACATTACTCATGGACCCGTGACGGCACATGTCCGAGTCCGATTGATCCGTGCAGGTGCATTTGTGAATTGTAAGTCAGTGTAATCACGCAGTGTAATCTCAGCGTACCCATCGCTCATTACAGCCTGTTCCAGTGGTGTATTTAAGTTGCAAAGGCATGGGGCATCCTGGCTATCAGCAAACTCTACTATCTCAATGGCGATTATCATTGCATACACCATTCTTGTCTTGGCCGGCCTCTGGATTGTGAGGCAACGATACCAGGCCGCAAGGCGGTTGTCATTACCGCCTGGGCCGCCTGGACGTTGGCTTCTAGGAAATACGATGCCCAAGTCACGGTGAGTCTTTGTCGAGGGATATTAACATGATCTCTATCTAATGCCTCACGCAGTGTGCCATTTCAATTCGCGAAATGGACAGAACAATACGGACCAGTGTTCTCGCTCAAACAAGGCCACAGAATTTTCGTGGTTATTGGACGTCATCAGGTGAGCATATAACGCAATTGATCTTCTAGCCAAGCCTGAAGTCGGTCTCGCCATAGGCTGCGATGGATATCATGGAAAAAGAGGGAGCAAATCTCGCCGACCGCCCGCGTTCTATTGCAGTGCAAGACACATTATCTGACGGGTTGAGAATGATCCTTGTGGGCAGCGGTGAGAGATTGCGCCGGCTGCGCAGGTGCGCATGTTATCTCTACCAGGTGTGACCAGTGAGACTAAATATAAAGCAGGGTCATGCATGCAGGCTTGCAACCCAAGGTTGCAGAGACCTACGAGCCCACTCAGACCAAGCATGCGAAGAATCTGCTACTGGATATCCTCAATGATCCAAAGAACCACCAAGGTCATGCCTTCCGGTACGAACATTATCATTTTCTCATGCGGCACAGTTGGTAATTCGAGTATTTTAGTTACTCAGCTTCCGTGGTCATGTCCTTCAACTACGGAAAAACAACTCCGACTTCGTACACAGACCCCGAGATAGTTTCCCTCAATAAAACTATCGCGCGTTTTGGTGCAGCCATCAAGCCGGGAGCATACCTTGTGGATACGTATCCAATCCTGCGTTTCGTGCCAGGCTACCTGAGCCAGCTGAAGGCATGGCACCAAGAAGAATTTGCTCTCTTTAATGGGCAGTTGGACGCAGTGCGAAGACAGATGGTTCGTGATTTTATTGTAATGACAAATATCTTCGCTCACCATTGACTGTGAAGCGTGAGGGAACTGCAGAGCCATCTTTTTCTAAGTTCATTATAGAGCACCAGAAACAGTACCAGCTCGAAGAGAAGGAGCTGTCATACGTTTCAGGAGGGATGTTTGCGGCTGGTTCTGACACGGTAAGCACTTGCATCACATCCCATCTTACTTAACTTGACCACTCTTGTAGACTGCATCCGCAATCACATTGATGATGATGGCTGCTGCCACTCACACAGATGCACAGGCTCGCGTACAAGAGGAACTTGATGAAGTCGTGGGGCGTATGCGGCGTAGGTTGCTCCTCTGATTTGTTAATCTAATGCCTAAAATATCTCCTGATTAGTGCCGACATTTGATGATCAAGAAATGCTGCCGCAGGTTACCGCGTTCATACTCGAGAGCCTGAGGTGGAGACCCATCGTTCTTGGAGGTATGTACTGTTATTTGACTGGTGATGATGGATGATGAACGATAATGTTGCATTTCAGGCTTTGAGCATCGCGCGACTAAGGACATAATTTGGAATAACTACCTCATTCCTGCAGGTGCAACTGTTATTGGCAACCATTGGTCAGTAGGCAATCATTTATGTTCTCCCTTGTGTCTGATGCTCGTCTTTCAGGGCTATCGCAAACGATCCTGAGGTCTTCCCAGAACCACACAAATTTAATCCTCAGCGTTGGATCGACGATGCAGGTCGTGTGCGCAGTGATCTCCGGTTTTTCACCTTTGGATTTGGCCGCCGGTGAGTGGCATCACTCATCTCTCTTCCTTTTCTTATAGCTCACTTGAAAATTTCAGAGTATGTCCCGGTCAACATGTTGCGACTCGGTCCATTTTCATCAACACGGCTCTTATTCTCTGGGCTTTCCGCCTTTCCGAGAATCCTGCAGCGAAGATCGACACGTTTGCTTTCTCAGATACAGCAACTATACATGCTGCTCCATTTGAGGTATGTTTGGAGAAGAGGGTTGATGAGAATCTGATCAGGGAACTGTGCGCACCGGTGGAGTAACGGCCATTTATCTAAGAACTTGAAAGCCAGTTAATACATTTGTCGATGTGTCTAAATTATGTATGCGCGTTGGTGCGTGAGAATGTATTTAGAATCTGCCTGTATTACTGTCCAACGTCGATAGCGTCGCCAGCTTCATCAAACTTGTTCTGTACTTTCACACCTATGATTAAACCTTGATTTTCAGTGCGAATCGACATTGGCTGTATCTGCGTGAATATTAGCCTGGCGTGACTCTGCCTTTCACAAATCGTGGCAGAGTGCAATATGAAGTGACAAACTAACTATCAGCGTATGAGAACGCAATAATGATCGCAGGTCAGAGGTGTAGTCAGAACGAACTCCAGCCGAGATCTACAAATGAAAGGAGTAGAAAGATGATATTATGAACATAGGTAGGATGGGGCGAAGAACTCTAAATATCAACGACTAGTGGTGTGGCAGCCGAGGGAAGAGGATTGTCTGTCCATAATGGGATACTAGTAGGTACTGGATATACAATTACAATATTCAAACTTTGGAAATTGGGAAACAGTCATGTAGCAAAAGGAAGATGATTGTTGGGTTGTGATAAAATAAAACGTGGTAGCAATCAGTCCAGGTCAAAATCTCGGATTTTGAGAAGATCTTCAAGAGATGATTTCTTCCTCTCGGGATCAGCCTCAAAGCTGTGGGCTTTTGTTCGAACGAATGGCCTTCGAGGGACAGGAGGCGCCCAGAAGGTGTCGCTCGGCAGGTATTGACGAGACACTTTTGGACGGGTGTTCGCAGCTTCTGACTTGACGTATTTTTTAAGCTGGTGGATTCTCTGCTGTCTTTTCGCCAAAGCATCCGGTGCTACGAATCATGTGTTAATATATGTTTCCTGAATACGTATCGCAGTAGGTTCACGTACCTAACATAACATCGGACGCCGCGTATGATTCCCGTGTCGGAGACCCAGCGGCAGCATTCACTGCAGTCTGGATGGTCCTTTCACGAGCGGCCAGTGGGTTCTTCGGCACTAGTAACTCCTCGATGCCCAGTTGGGTACGAGTGTCGACTCCCCCACATCGTATGACAAAGTTGCTCTCCAAAACGAACAAGAGCGAAGTGATTCGATCTGTACAAATGGTGAACAAAGGAGTCCGATAAAATAACGACTGATATTTACCCCCCATGTCGGCAGGAAACGCGGGTCTGCGACGCCTGATCCAAAGAAGTAATTTGAAGTATGCCGACTTGTACGGCAAAAGTTCTTCTGAACACAGAACGAAAATGTACAAGGCCACGCCCTCGCGTCTGAGAGTTATCCGCGCGTTCTTGAACCGAGAGCATTATCGAAAGAGTTTGCGAGCCTTGAATTTATATTTACCTCTGTCAGAACGATGATCTGCACGAAAAGATAATCGTCAGTTGACTGTAAAAGATGATTCGATTATAAGGGCACGACCTTCCGACTGTAGTGCTGTAATTCGTGGTCTTCCAAGCGACCGAATTTCATAACGTCATTGATAGCGTCCAGAAAATGAGTTAAAGAGCCCAGACGATGAGCCAAATCATTAACGACTGCTGGACAATCGAGTGCAGGGAAATCGTTACTCATGGTGTGATGTGAGTAGTTGGAAAGATGGAAAGAGGTAGGACGAAGGTCATTTAAAGGAGCAACAGTTTCCACAAGATGTGGATGTGGATGTTGTGGACGGCATGACTAATGAGACGTGGATTGTGAGCCCCAGCGTGGTAAGGTCCCTGGTTGAAGGAAAGGCTCCAAGAGTTTACCGTGCTCGAATGCGTAGGCTGGACATGCAACCCGGCATGAATGAAGGGCAAAAGGTTCTAATTGCTTATGGAGAAACGAAAGGACAATCCGACACAACGATCGTTAGATTTGCATGGGTCCATTGGATTTCTTGATACATATGCATCGAATATATCAGGTATGAGAGTTTCGGACTATGTCAAACAATTACCTCGTGAGTTTATAGCCCTTCCATAAGTCTCCGGACAATGGGGGCAGTCTGCTACCTCGTCGCGCTCACGTCGCCCTGCTTGCACGCCCTCGCAACAAATGAATGCACAAATCGCGCTTCATCGGCCGTCACTTCTTCATCATCAACCTGAAATTCGTCAGCCCCGTTGGCGTTGCCAACGAACTTTGAGAAATCAAGGCTTTTTAGCTCAGGCTCTTTGCTTGATTCGAGGGTTTGCCAAAGTTTCTTTGAACTATCCAAAGTTGCTCCTGCCTTCCCTTGCCTTTCTTGCTCCGAAAAGTAGTGAGCATGCCGAGAACACTAAGATCCCTTTCGGCGAGCCAATTTTGAATTCCTTTTATAGGATATGTCGATGATGCAAAGAACGCGGAGAGGCGAAGTGGGACGGTGGCAAGACCCGCTCTTATCACATTGAAAGATTGTTTCACATCCTCGGATGCAGGCACGCTGAATGCAGTACTTTTGTAGTCTCTCCGCAGCAAGTCCCGCGCGTTGCGATGGGATGTGGTAGGCTTCTTCTCTCCCAACGTCAGTGGACAGAAACTGAACAGAAGGGAGATGGGTGATTAGTTGGTTATCCGATGATGCGGAGACTTCTTCGTTGTGTGCCAAAAGGGACTGGGGAATTACAAACGCAGCTGCCTCCCTGTCGACATTCAGAGCTTTTCCTGCTCTTTTATACCTTGGGTATCGATCAAAATAGCACTGAGCAAGAGCGTCGACAATTCTCGGGGTATGAAGATGGGGTATGATTGATACGATCTTGCAACAAGAGACGAGCAACTTCCATCCGGTTCGACTATCTGTACTAGCATCCTCGTATTGTTCTTCATCCTCATGATTATCTATCGTTGCAACAACCCTGCCTGTTGCAGATCCATATCTGGTGTGAAGGACGTTGTGATCCAAAAGTGCAAACTGCGACACCTGTGATGGAATAGCATAAGCAGAGCAATAAAGCTCTTCAAAAAGGTGATTGATTCCAGCGAGACTAAAGACGTACAAATCATCTGCCCTAAGGACAAAATCTCCTTTAGATGTAGTTATGTATACGATCGCAACCAGGCATATTCGAGTGCACTAGCGCGAGAATCGAGATCTATGTGGTGCAAGACAACAGTGAGGCCTGAAAACGAACGGAACACGGTTAAACATACAGCCCGCCTCTTTGCCCAATGCCCATTACCGCTGTACACCCTTCCCCATTATCACCTAGTAAACCCGCCCTTCGAGACTTGAGGTATGACGAAAAGTTGGACGTAGACATTGGAGTTTGCCGCAGAAGTTTAGCAAGTACCCTGAGGCTTAAACTTGCGAATGGAGCGCATGTGACTTTTGCAAGTGGGGGCAATAGTTGGCAAGAAACCACGGAAACCCACAGGAATGCCAGGAATATTTGGTAAAGATCATACGAGTTGGAAGGTCAAATCACATGCATGTCGGCGCTGTGATCACTGATGGGACTAAGCTGCAGTTAAAAATTAAATGCTCTGAGTGAAGATGCATACCTTGACGAGTGCTGATGTCCAGTGACACGTGAACACTGATGCTTTGCACTCTCGTTCATCAATCTCCTACCGCCCTGCAGTAATATGTCAACCCAATGCAGAAATGGTTTGTTCGGCCTTCAAGCTTCAAGACCCTCCAAAATGGCCCTCAAACATGACGAGAGGAGAAAAGGAGAACTAATGACCAGCGAGTCCCTGTACGCCTTGAACTCTCCGGGATGGAGCTGTTTGGCATTAGCCCCTTCACCACTGATGAACACAGTTTCTGAAGGAAAATTATGTGAGAAGACAAAACAGGGCATTAGTACACGTGTTCTGGGTTGGCGTTCGTGATATTCATTGGTGTCCAAACCATAACTCTGAAGAAGATCACGGAGCTCATTAGCGGAGAAGCGTCACCCAAAACAACTTGAAGAACATCGGATCAGTTTGATCAAGTTACTGAGAGCGTGGAAAATATTGACTCGGATGACCAGATATTTTGGGTGTAGACTGCTTAAGCCCAGCTGGAGCCTTACTATGCCGGCGATTGAATAGGCCAGTAAGCGCTGAAGAACGTGTAACATGGCATGCTTCGGTCAACAGTATTCGGCTGCTAGAGGTCCTCTCCTTTCTCCCACCTACTTCTTGCACCCCCACTTGGCTCGCAGTAGTCGTCCGCTGTCATGAGTGACAATAGGCCAGATCCTCCTCCAGAAACCTGTGAAGCAACCATTCCTGAAAGCTCGGTATGTAGTCTCGAAAGCTTGCTTGTTGTGGATGAGCGCTTATAAAATACATCGTTGCTCCTGACGCTTTCGTCCAGAGCCAGCCCAGTAGTCGAGTCAAGCAGGGTACTTGGAAATTTGCGAAAAAGATCACCAAGAAACTTTCTGTAGGTAGACTGCTGGGTTTCCTGATTCTGGCTGACATTGTGCAGAAACGCTTTAAGTGTTCCCGCAAGCGTATTCCTGCGATCCAGAATGTCGAACGTCAAGGTGCTTCATCGAGTGAGAATATCCAGGTAGGTGCTTGAAATTATAATCCCAGTTCCGTTCTTTTTATTGCGCAGGTTCTCGACGTCCCCTCTGGCATAGAGGAAACTCCTGGTCCTAAATCAGTTGGTGCCGAACTTCATGGTGCCCACGAGGCTTTAGAACACGTGAAAACACCCTGGAGACCGGCGCAGCCTGTGATATCTGCTGTCAACACTGCCCCAGCAGGCCTCACTGCCGTAGATAATTTCCAGACCAATTACCTCCAACCCCTGAAAATTTTCGACACTGCCATTGACAAGATCGCAGACGTATGGGCTGCTCTCCTTAGTTGGTAGCGAACTAATCAAGTTATAGGTGCACCCATACGCAAAGATGGCGTTGGGTGTCCTTTCTGCTGCAGCCAAAGTACGTTCTATGTTTCTCGGAGATCTACCTCCTGCTCAGAGGTCATGGTTCCATATAGATTATTCTTGCTCAAGCGGAGCGCGACGAATCAGTAGATCGCCTTCTTCAAAAATTAGAGGAAGTTTATGGTTTCATTACCCAAGACGATAATCTTTCCAAGGTTGAATCGATGCGTGATGTCATCGGAAAGATTGCTCAGCAGACTCGAGTGTGCCCGTTTCATCAGGGAATACTCAAAGACGAAAAGCTTCTGTGAGTCATTGGATTATTGCATTCGCACACCAGTCTTATACTTCCAATGATAATAGGGGTGAGAGTAGGTAAAAACATCGTCGCAGAAACAAACGATATCATCACAAGGTACAACCATGCCTTGGATGGACTTATGCAGCAATTTCGCGATCAATCTCATCGGGACGTAGCTATCTTTGTCCAGTTTGCGGGTGAGGATTCATGCATGTCTCTGACTGTAATTCTACTCATACCCTCAAAGGTGAAATACTCGATCTCAGCGGTATGACTTATGCAGCGGGCGCAGGACTAAATACTGCGAAGCGATGTTTGTCAGGCACTCGCACGGCCATTCTCTCCGAAATCACCGAGTGGATCAACAGCAGCGAAGATTCTGTTCCGCGTGTCATGTGGTTATCCGGCCCTGCAGGCAAGGGGAAATCAGCCGTTGCCCACACTATTGCCAACTGGTTCGAAGAGACGGGAGGCCTTGGTTCGTGTTTTTGTTTCGATCGGCACAGAGAAGCAGACCGTCGCCATGAGAAGATTTTTTCCACCATCGCGCGCGATCTTGCCGATCGTGATCCGGGGATGAAACGAGCGTTAGCGGATGCAGTCAAGAACGCAAACTCTCTCAAGAATACGACGGACATTATCCAACAGTGGCGGAAGCTCCTCATGGAACCGCTGAAGAAGTTTTCTGGGTCAAGTGTAGGGCCTGTCTTGATCGTGATCGAAGCACTGGATGAGAGCGGCGGAGTGGAGACGCGGCGTAACCTCCTCCGCATACTTGCCGGTAGACTTCAGGACAATGAATTTCCTCAAATCACCGAACTCCCTTCCAACTTTCGGATTCTCGTCACTTTTCGCCCACTTCATGATATCGAAAAGGAATTTGAAGGTGCTGATCATATTCTACGGTTGTCCATGGACAAGATTCCAGCAGAAGTAGCGGAGTGCGACATCCGTGCTTTTGTATCTGACAAGCTACAAGGGCTGCCACGTTTTGGGCGCAAGGAGTTTGCAAGCCTCGCTGCGAAAGCCGATGGACTTTTCGAGTGGGCACGTCTTGCATGCGAATACGTTAGGGAAGACCTCCCTGGCTTATCCTCAATGGACTGTTTCAATGCCGTCGTGAACCACAATCCTGGGGAGCAGAAAAACTTGTTGTATGATATGTATCGGCTCATCTTAACAGAAATCATGCCAAAGGATAAGTACACAGCGGCCCATTACGAGCAAGCGGTAGCGAAGTTTCGTTCCGTGATGGGCCAAATATTGCCACATCCGAACCCCTCCCTTTGGCTTCATTGAACGCTATGCGGCAGCATTTCCCAGAGGACCACGACCGTTATGAAGTAGATGTAGTGATAAAACGCATGGGATCCCTCCTCAGCGGTACCACCGACTCGTATACCCCCATCCGACCTCTTCATGTGACTTTTCAAGAATTCCTGATGGACGAATCATCCAGCGGAGAATTCTTCGTTGAGAGAACGAAGGCACAACAACGCGACCTTGCATTTGCGTCACTACGAGTGATGGAAAATGGCCTTCGCTTCAATATCTGTGACTTGAAGTCGTCCTACCTCCCTAATTCCTAAGACACGGAGCTGCCTCGACGAATCAAAACATTTATTTCCCCACATCTCTCCTATTCCTGCCGATATTGGGCCACGCATGTCCAAACAACAGATTTTGACGACAAGCTCGCAAAGGAAATAAAATCACTCGTCGACGACGAGCGACAGATGTTCTGGATCGAAACACTCGGAATTCTTAATGCAATCAGAGGTGCAATTATTGTGCTTCCACTAGTTGCCAAGTGGCTGAAGGTAAACACATGCCTATGAAGCAGTGTCGGACGAACAGCTCATAAATAGATGCAGAGCCGTTCTGGATACGAAGATTTGTGGTCCACCACGATGGACGTACAAAGATTCATTCAAGTGTTCGGCGCCATGATTTTGCACAGCACACCACATCTGTATCTATCAGCGTTCCCATTCTCGCCCGTCAACTCCACCATGGCGAGCAAATTCACGGCAAGGTTTCCGAATAGCATTCGTCTAGCATCTGGTTGTGATTTGAACTGGACGGTAGCTCAGACCATTATGAATGGGCATACTGCACCGGTTAACTCAGTCTCGTTTTCACCGGATGGTACTCGCATCGCGTCTGGTTCATGGGATAACACTGTGCGGATGTGGGATGCAGCGACGGGACAGCCATTGGGTGAGCCCTTGAAGGGGCACACTGGATCGGTTTACTCAGTCTCGTTCTCACCGGATGGTACTCGCATCGCATCTGGTTCGGACGATACCACTGTGCGGATGTGGGATGCAGCGACGGGACAGTCATTGGGTGAGCCCTTGAAGGGGCACACTGGATCGGTTAACTCAGTCTCGTTCTCACCGGATGGTACTCGCATCACGTCTGGTTCGGACGATTCCACTGTGCGGATCTGGGATGCAGCGACGGGACAGTTATTAGGTGAGCCCTTGAAGGGGCACACTGGAGAGGTTAAGTCAGTCTCGTTCTCACCGGATGGTACTCGCATCGTGTCTGGTTCATCGGATAAGACTGTGCGAATGTGGGATGCAGCGACGGGACAGTCATTGGATGAGCCCTTGAAGGGACACACTGGATGGGTTTACTCAGTCTCGTTCTCACCGGATGGTACTCGCATTGCGTCTGGTTCATCGGATTACACGGTGCGGATATGGGATGCAGCGACGGGACGGCCATTGGGTGAGCCCTTGAAGGGGCACACTGGATCGGTTTACTCAGTCTCGTTCTCGCCGGATGGTACTCGCATCGCGTCTGGTTCATCGGATTACACGGTGCGGATGTGGGATGCAGTGACGGGACAACTATTGGGTGAGCCCTTGAAGGGGCACACTGATTGGGTTTACTCAGTCTCGTTCTCACCGGATGGTACTCGCATCGCGTCTGGTTCGTCAGATATGACTGTGCGGATGTGGGATGCAGCGACGGGACAGTCATTGGGTGAACCCTTGAAGGGGCACACTGGATCGGTTTACTCAGTCTCGTTCTCACTGGATGGTACTCGCATCACGTCTGGTTCGGACGATACCACTGTGCGGATGTGGGATGCAGCGACGGGACAGTTATTAGGTGAGCCCTTGAAGGGGCACACTGGAGAGGTTTACTTAGTCTCATTCTCTCCGGATGGTACTCGCATCACGTCTGGTTCATCGGATAAGACTGTGCGGATGTGGGATGCAGCGACGGGACAGCCATTGGGCGAGCCCTTGAAGGGGCACACTGGAAGGGTTTTGTCAGTTTCGTTATTACCGGATGGTACCCGCATCGCATCTGGTTCGGACGATCACACTGTGCGGATGTGGGGTGTAGTGAAAGTGCAGCCATCCCCAGAGTCAAGAGAGCTAGATTCCTCCGCATCTCCGTTACATCAAAGCACGGCTCCACCCAATCCCCCGAGTCAAGAAAGCCAGATTCCTCCGCATCTCTGTTGTGTCAAAGCACCGCACCTCCCACCCAAGAAAGCCGTGTCATACCAACCTGTAACAATCGCCTCATTTCTTTCTCATCCAGTTTGGAACACGCTCTGCCCAACCCCGCTGACTTGCTCGAACCCCCCTCTCATCATGATTCTGATTCAACCCCTTTCTTGCTGCAAGCTGATGGATGGGTGATGGGACCCAGTCGTCGGCTCCTTTTCTGGGTACCTCCCGCCTCCCGACATGCATTTTATACTCCTTGGACTTCATTGGTGATACCCAAAGGATGTCCTGAGCTTGATTTAAGCCGCATGGCCCATGGAACACGCTGGTCGAGTTGCCGAGATACGTGAGTTCTGAGTCTTTACCATCCCCTCGCAGTTGCTAACATCATTCCTGCTAGCTCCACGTAACGATGATTTCATTGCAATATCGTGTGTACAATTTGATTCTTTGATTCTTTGTCAATCTTTATACCCAATACTAAGCATGAATTTACGGTTGTCTGACTGAATGATGCGCCGAAACAAACTGGGTAAAACTCAAATGTTCCTGCTGATTCGTAAGAACACGGATTGAAGACTGATTTCATCCAGTGACCACTGCAGGCGCTTTGATCAGTGTTCCTGTCATTACCGTCAGTGCCGAGAAGATCACTTTCAAACTGGAAGTTCTCATGGCAGCCGCAGTCTTTCCATCGAAATCTTTGTGATAAGTGGTTACGACCTCGCGCGTACAGAGAGATACCAGGTTGTTCGACTCAACCTCACGTCTGAGATCATCTGCAGTGAACGAACTTCGGCATACTGCACACTGGTATCATGATAGAAGGAGGATGCCTCTTCATGACTCTCTACATATTCCATCGGGCTGGTACGACAACTCGCATTAGTGGGTTGCTTGAAGTTTTGATTGTTCCCCCAGGGCATCGTTCACAGGCGAGTCTACGAAGAGGTTGGGAACAAACCAAGTCCCTGGAATGTGACACGACTTTCGTCGTCTACCCTGGTAGCTGTCAACAGTGGCCTGCATCCTAGACGAATTCAAGACTGCACGGTTCATGTCAGCTCGGAGATCACAAGTTAGCAGGATTTATATTCATTTGTGTATGTCTGCAGTGAACAGCCTACCGTCACAGACGTGTAAAGATTTCCCGGTCTCCAAAGACGAGCATACAAAATTCGCCATTATTATTCTGGGTAAAAAAAAACGGCAAGTACTCCTTATTCGTCACTGTGCTAATTGTTACTGGGGGATCGGACTCGATCTTCGATGACGCCTTCCCGGGTTATTGAAGAATGCGGGGTAAATTGTGCCAGAAGCTGGTATCGGGTACCATAGTAGGACCGTGAACAGCGTGTCGAGTCATCGTTTGATCCGGACATCAGATCTTCAGAGAGAGGAGTCGACAAATGTTGCGAGAGGAGAAAGATGATTAGCGGTGGGAGCACACAAGAAGCAGAATAATACGCCCGGGCCCGATAAGACTCGTACCACAATTATTGGATGATGCACGATTGTTGGCCACAGCGAAGGGTGTCGAAATAAAGGTAGACGTTGATAATGTTCATTAACACTGTCGTTTATGCTCGAGCAGGTAAAGCGGATGCCAACGGTGCGTCCAGGGCGACTGAGTTGCTCGGAGATGTGGAAGATGATTTGATGAGTGTGCGATCGAGGACAACAGTCAAATTCAAACATCGACCGCAAAAACTGACACATACACGATTGGATAGAGGACGGTGACCCGTTCTGATCGCTCGCAGAATTGTGCTACCCGTGTCCATTTGTGAGGGTAAAAAGCAAAATGTAGAAGGAAGAAAGACAGAGAATTTAGAAACGAAGGACAAGCGCCTGATGGGTAATCAACAAGATTGTATTGACGGTGATGCTCCAGCACAGAACTAGAGTAGAATTATTGATTTGAATGAGATAGTGCTATAGCAATCATTGGTTCAGCGGTGGCTGGGCGGCAGCTCAAACTGAGACGAGCCATCAGCACTGCCACTGAGCGCTGTCTGAATCTCCTTTAGATCATCAACATGGGGCGGAACGCAAAGCTGCACAAACGCATCGTGAGTCCTCGACGATCAATTTGTATCACTATCTTCTTAGTTCTGACAATGAAGTCCCGTTAGAAAAAGAAGACAACTGCATCATCTGCGTCACACCCTCATCCGGATCTCTCAGCGTTGCTAATACGTCGGGTGCACCTCTAGATGATCATCGCACGTCCAAAACGCGTAGACCTCAAGTCAAAGTCAAGATCAAAATTCAAACCGTCATCGAGCAAGGTTACGACGGGAGAACGTATTCTCGGAGGCACGCACTGTGACTTTACTTGTGGGCGACCGCAAGAAGGCTGCAAAGGGACCTTTCAAGTTACCAAAAGACTGATCAGAGGTGTGTTTGCAACGATTAAATCTTGCAGTGCACAATTCTTAACCATTTCAAGACCTACACAAGGCTTTTGAATCTACTATTGATCGAGCCTTATGGAAATACCGAGTCAGACATATCACGACCCTCGAGCCGTATCATATTTGCATAGCGATTATCTGTGCATTCGTGGCCCAGTAAATCGTGGACGTTTAAACCAAGTATACCCAGATGTGAAACTAACAATCACCAAATGACCCATTCTAATTCAAGTCCATGCCTTCCATGACTAGTAAAGAGTACCAGACCTCAATGACCATGCCCAGACTGGTCACTGCGTGATTATATTGGTCAAAACTAAACTACTGAACAACGGTTATGACTCGGATTCGGGAAGGTAAGCGCACAGCCTCTTAAAGGCCCTCTTCCAGTTCTCGGTAGCCGTGAGCGCGTGAAATAAATCATATTCACCTGTCTTTTCTTCTTCTTTGTCTTCCTCGGCGTCCGTGTGTATGCCTTTCCTTGCTTTCCGTGCCTGGGCAATTTTGTTCTTCACTTGAGAATGTTTATCGTCTTCGAGCACTTCCAAACTGTCTTCCACCAACTTCCAAATATGGGGATCCATCCAGTCCCGCTCGAAATATACAAAACGATCTAGAAATCGACTCTTCTTCTCGCCACATGTCACGGGGTCTACAGTTGCCCAATCATCAAGGAGGCGAGATGATGCGGCCAGCAGAACTCCATTCTCGTAGCGAAGACAAACCCACACGAGAACCCATACGAATGACTCCAGATCATGACGATACAAGTGTGCAACTTCGCCTCGTTGACCCTCAGGGGTAAGGAGATCAAGCGCCATGAACGGCACTGTGCCCGTGCGTTCATTGCCCGTAGGACCCGCGTTAATCTTTAATGATGATAGATCGTAGTCATTTAAGACCCCGATCCAGCGTCGGTCTTTCTTGTAGCACATCAGATTGCCAGGGCTGACATCCAAATGATAGACTCCTCGCTTCCAGAGAGCAATGTGGCCTGAACACACTATTTCAGCGGAGAGTCTCATAAAACGCGACGAGCCACATACATAGGATACATTGACGCCAAACATCGAACAATTCTATGCCATAGAGCGCCGTGATGGGGTCGAGCTTGCGGAACACGAGAATGTAGAGCACGCGGCTACCCTTCTTCGCTTCTGGAATCCCAAACGCTTCTCGTACTGCGCAGGTCGGATTGGGGAACTTGCAGTACCAAAGCAGCTGAGGAACATGGCCCTCGACGTCCGGTTCTTTTGCGGCAATCTCGTCAACCTTTTTCAAGATTTCCGGCTCGCTAATGCGGTCCTCTTCCGCCCAAAAGATTTTGGCTACCATCCCATCTTTCTTGATATCTGGGAATTCTGCGGAGAGCTTTTCGCTAGTGACGGGGAACACGTTGGTTGCGCGTCCTCGCAACCCGTAGTGAGTCACTCTCTCTTTGGAGCTGGTGTGAATCACGAGATCCACGCCGCCAAGGTCGGCTTTGTGCACGCCATCCTTCACAACCACGCCATTAAGTATGGTTTTGTGCACGCCCTCCTCCACAACTTCCTCGAATTGCGTGTTCCGACCCCAGTCGCCAAGGTTGAAACGTTGTAACGCGTATAACAGCACCATGAATCGAGGGAGATCCTTCATGAAGTTGATACCGGAGCTTTGAATAATCCCCTGTCGATCGTAATACCAGATCCAGATGATGTTATCTACAGAAGCAAACCTAAGAACGCAAGCATGGGACGAACGAAAGAAAACACACCGACGACGATCATATTGAGGAGGTGAGTGACTGCAATATTTGCTGCAAACATCTCGGCAGCGTAAAGTGCTGTCTGGACAGTCACATCTAGCGGGCGGTCCGCGTCCGTGTTGGTGGTCTTGGCTCGCTTGGCGGCGGATTCCTCACCATCCTCAGCCTTGCGCTTGGAGCTCCCGTTCGTGTTATTAATTACATCGTCACAGTTCGAACGGCGTGGGGCTGTGCTGGGTTAGTTTGAACCCTGAATAGCTGATGCATGGCTTACCTGGAAGATCGGGCGCAGGTTGTTCGGCTTGGATCTGCAGAACTGACACTCCAGTCGCAGGGCCGACAGACGCCTCCCGCACGGGGACCTTCCGATATTCTGGATTGGTAGGTGTATATTTTTCTACTTTATACGAAGCAGAGGGCCCCTCCAGTTCAAAATTTGAGGTTCTCTTGAATTCGATCGAAGCGAGCACATCTTTCCAGAAGATTCGCCCACCTTTCGGTTTTTTTGCTGCATCCTGTACCCTATGGTCCCAGGGTGAATTTGTTACACCTGAGGACGCCTCCTTCGAGCTTTTTGAAGGAAGGATGAAGACGTCGGGTATCCGTTTCGATTTCTCAGTCTGGTGCTTTTGGTATATAGGCATATCATTGCGCTGACAGATCATATCCAGGTCATTCGAAGCGGTGCGCATTCCCTCAACGGGGATCTCTTCGAGACAGGCAAGCGCGGTATTCGTCGCCTTGATGAAAGGCGCGTAGGACTTGGTTTCAATCATCGGTAACGAGCTTGCTTTCATTATGAGCGCGACATTCCCCCAAACAGTGAAAGAGCACTCACTAATCCCTAAGACTTTGCGCGATGTCCGAAGAACGAAATATCTGGCCGGGTTGTTTTTCCTTGGTGGAAAATTTCCCATTGCAAACCTTTAGAACAGCATCGAGACACTTGTCCAGTAGATCGGGCTGTGGAGTCTCTGGATCGTTAGAGGCACGCTGCAGGAGGTCTCCTAGCATTACGTCGATATTGCATGTCTTAGTTTTCTCGATGTCCCGCTCAATCCATGGGCGGATTTGATTGATCCTTGCATGAACTTCAGGTGGCAGTCAAACATGACAGCAGTAAAACTCACTTGGCGCCGATCAGGCCAATATGGTCACTGGCAGCGGAAGCTCCTCGGCTAAGTGGCGTGGATTTGAGGTTAGAAACATGAGATGATGGATTAGCGCGTGGCGGAGTAGATGCCAAGTTTGGCTGGTCGGGTTGCGCTTCGCCAGGGGACATGGCAGTTAAAGTTGACTCAAGTAACGCAACTGGGTGTTAATGCTGACGGGTGGTAAAGTGGGAAAGGTGGTGGCTGTTAGAAAGAAGAACGAACTGAGTCCCACATATTTGGTCAGCCAATGTGGCGAAAGGTGGTCGCGGAGTATTGCATTGTGGTCCGTGGAGGTATTGATGTGGCGGTTGATGTTCTTAATTACAGATTTGTAATCATGGACAATCAGCGTCAGAAAACTGAACAAAACATATTATTTATCTCATACCTCGTCTTCGCAATCTCGCAAATTTGCACATCTGGCTCGCACACAAGCCCCGTCATGCACAGCACAATGCAGGAAAATAACGCAAAGTTCGTTGTGCTGTTTTCCTGCTCTATGCTGTGTTCAAGTTGGTCTCCGTTTCCCAACGGTCTTCGCTGCTATGCCCAGAACTCCAAAGTCTCTCAAAGAGTACTACTGCAACTGTTTATGCTGGTGCCATGGAGTCCTCAAGTAAGTGTCTTACAAGACCTACACCAGACATACTCCCCACCTTGCTCTGGCGCAGGACGCGGCAGGAGCCACACTTTAGTCAAGACTTTCAAGCATTTTTAACAGGGCTGTCTTCTGACGAGTCGCAGCCGGGAAATAGTATGGCCAGTCACACAGTGCTCGACTAGTGACCTGTCTCAGCACGCCGTCATCGGGGAGAAGACTCCGAGTCTGAGCCACAGCCTGAAGTGGCCAGTCCGTCTCAGATAGTAGTGTTTTTCCATTCTTTCACAATATACAAAGATTGATGTAATATACTAGGAAAATGAAGTTGACTTGGGACTTGGAGAGTTTTAGGGTTATCGGAGACAGGGCGACGGCTGGTTATAATCATTTGCTGTCTCATCGACTTATCCACTGCACTTTCGTTCACTCCTGTCGGACGCATCAACGGCTCTTCTTCAAGTCTTGCATCGAGTCGTGCGTGGATAGGGAAACGCACGGGTACGGGTAACACCGCGGTTATATGCTAACGGGTTTGGCAGGTACGGGTACGGTGTACGATATTCATACCCTTGGGCACACCCCGGGTTGACGGTGTTTGGACGGGTATGACCTACCAAATTAGGAACTGATTCTCCGTGCCGCCTTTGTCTGATTCTCTTAGAGCTTGAGGATCACAACTAAATGCTATACTGATTTCTGTCATGGCTTTTGCGCCCTGTGATTCGTTCTATTGAACAATTTATCGAGCTGACACTTTACTACAGAGAAGCTTGGGTTACTGCCATAGGCCCAAGGCAAAAACTTGAGAACGGTCACTAGTACTACGTCCACTCGCCGTCTCTCCATGAAAATCACGTTGAAGCTCCCAAAGAAAGCATCTGATGCCTCGTCTACCAGGTCATGTTCCATATCTCACACTACTAGTAGTGAACTGGAGGAGTTCCTTTGATTACCAACTGTGAAGACGAAGGACCCACTTGCATGGTGGCAAGACAACTGCCGTACTTATCCGACACTACATCGGATGGCCCTAGACTATCTCTCTGTCCCAGGTATGCCACCCTTGAATCTTCTTTCAACCAATCAGCACTTATTATCTTGCTCAGCGACATCAACCGCAGTTGAACGTGTCTTCTCACAGGCTCGGCAGCTCCTTCACTTTACTCGCAACCGACTCGCACCATCAACAATTCGCGCCTTTCTCTGCCTTGGAGCCTGGGGCAGATGTGATCTTCTGGCGATGGAGGACCTTTTAGCTTCTGTAAGGAGTCAGAAACGGAAGCGAAGCGCAGTCGAGGCTGACGAGGCTGATGAGGAAAAATAGCAATATTTATTTTGTTGTCTGAGTCGTTGAATCACTATTCTTGTTCATATACCCGCGGTGCTTACGGGTCGGTGTGTACCTGTACCCGTGGCGGGTGCGGTGTTGGCGGGTACGGGTACGGTGTTGAGTTTCCGACCCGCGGTGTTACCCGTGCGGAACCCTATGCGTGGAGGGTGCGAGGTAGGGTGCACTGCTGCAGGGAGATGTACGAAATAACATGATGGGTGAGGAACGAAGTAGAACGATAAGAGAGTAGAGAAGTAAATGAGGACGGGGCCGGTCCAATTCTAACCCGAAAAAAAAAATACTCACTCCCACCCGAGATCGCTGCTCAACACTCCAGTCAATGCATTCGTACACTGAATTCTTTCCTCGGACCGCATAGCTGGTTGCGGAGGTCTGCAGGGTTTCAGGGCAAATGAATGGTGGATGGGAGAGAATGAATGGAAGAGACAGAAACATCAGCCCAGACAATACACCCTACAGGAATGCCACAAGACCACAAGTTTGAGACCTTTGTGAGAAAATTGGACATGACTGATGCGTGGAGCGCTCGCAAACAGGCACTGATAGCCCTGTCCACTGCAGAAGCTAAGTATATCGCTCTGACGAGTGTAGCACCCGCCATAGCCCTAGCGACAAACGGCAAGTTCCAACCCTGGACCAAACACATTGCCATCAGGTATCACTTCATCCGCACCCATGTCAAGAACGGCCGCACGTTCGCCTTGTTCTACTGTTGGACAGACCAAAACATAGTGGACACATTCACCAAGGCACTCCCTTGCCCTCACCTTCAAAGTTTAGAGCCTTCGAGCTCAGATGAGCCTAGCTTGCGCTCGAGAGGGAGTGTCGAGTACCGAGAGTACCAAGGCGGCAAAGGCCAATGGATCCGAGACATGAGGCACGAGCGCATGCTAAAGCGGAAACAGATGAACGCACATTGACAGTGGCTCATGCCCTCCCTTGTTCTTGATTAATATACCACCCCCTGTGTTCCTATTCAGTTTACCTTATAGCTACAAGCAGATCCATAGACGCATCTCGGTTCTGTTCCAAGTACTGAGATATGAGTACCAGCACTTAGTCGCACATCACACATAACTAATGTTCACGTAGCGGTTCTATTTGTCAGGTACATACAATGAGTTCTGCTCCAAGTACTGAGATCGGTTCTATTTGTAATTAGCTCCCTCCCTCGCGTCCGCTCGCCTCTGAATTCCATATCTGATTCGTTTCTCAAAGCTCTTACTGTGTTTCCAGTTCCCTCATCTGCAGTAGTCTCTCCACTCCGTTCACCCATCTCAGTATTCAATATCACTCTCCCTCTCCCTCGTCATCATTACTAATATTGAATTATCTCAGATCTTCAAATCTTGATTGAGCGACAATACAAACGCGATAACTCTTGCAGTTTTGGGGGTATAAATATCACATACCTAGTAAAGGGCGCAATGTAGCAGCAGAATTGGATCATACTCTGGCTTCACCATTCCATCGAGATCCCCCGGGCCCTCAGAATATCAGTGGAGTGCGAAAAGACCGTTCCAGAGACGGTTCAAATCAAGATTTCATACGGAAGAACTCACATATCATGAACTACACTCCTAACACAACACGCCACCAGCAAGGGCTGGTCATGATACAAGGGTCGCAAAGGCACGGTCCTGCAGTTCTACCAAAATTGATGTCATCTGACAGCAACAACGATTCTTCCAGATCGATGAGAATCATTAGTATCTGCAGGGTATAAAATCTGGCTGTCATTTCATGGTATTTCCCATCTTCAGAGATATCATTCGAGATCCCCTTCAGAATATTCCATATTACCTCGAACATAAAATGCGTTTGTTGCTCCTCGCCGTTGCTGTTGCGTTGACAGGATCTATGTATGTCGGTGCACATCCACATAAAGAGCCTACGTGTTCCGTATACGATTGTCAAACAGATGCAGAGTGCTGCAAACACATGCGTTGTGGAGCTAACAAAGTGAGTATGAGCCTGTGCAACTAGGATTCAACCACATAACTCACCTGCATGCCTTCAAGCATAAAGTTATGAAGTGCTATAATCCTCCGAAATGAGCCAGTAGCTCTAACGGCATATCGACACAGTAGGTCATCGTGTTTCTGCTTTCACTTTGGTATCATGGTTGATGGTGCAATACCTAGTTTGGAGTTGATCAGTACAGTTTATGGACAAATTTTCGTACTGTTCGAGCAACTATGTGGATGTTTGAAAATTATCGACCTAGTCTTGCTCGTGACCACCAAGCTTGAGTTCGAGAGGTTGTCGAGACGAACAGATCGGATCATCATTGCTGTTTAATTTAATGATTAACATTGGGAGGTATGAAGCACTGCTCACGCCGTCCCACGCCCGTGACCTTGACTATATAGCAGGTCTGTTATGATCGACAACGAAGTAGCGTTTCTGTGGCTCCTTCGTACGCGCGCACACACAATTCCATGAGCTCCTAGCATTCGAGGCCAACCTTAGACCAACAGATTGAAGCTGCACAATCTTCATAATATAATCTCGCAATATTAACCATATGCATCATCAGTAATCATTATTTGTTTCGACAGTCGAGCTTAGTGAACCACGAGAAAGACTAGTCACGATCGATCATTATCAATCAAGTGTTTGAGAGCAGTATGAACATTTGTCTAAAAATTACTGTGCTGATTGACTCCAAGTCAAGTATTGTACTATCAAGCATGATACCAGAAACGTGACTCACTTTCGCGATGTGCCGCTCAGCCTTCCAGCTCGATTTTCAACCGACTATTGCTGGTAGGTGTAAGCTCCATCCTGAGGCGTGCAGGAAAGCCAGCACCACGCCCAAGCTCCAGCACACTAAACTGGGCAGGTCGATCCGTAGATTGAAGTGGTATGACGGCGGCTGGTTTTGTGTGAGTAGGGCAGGTATGTACTGGTGTTGAGGGAAGGGATGGGTCGGCAGGCGAAGATGATTGGGAGGAGAGAAAGTCTGGTGCTGGTGGCGACTTGCCAGTGCCCGCTCCCCGCATCACGAGTAGAATGAGGGCCGCATGATAGAGAATGGGGGGATAAAAGTGAGTGGCCGTATGCGTCCTACCAAAAGTGAGTTTGACGAGGATGGAAATGAGAGAACGCTCACCTCGCGCGATGAACTTCACCACACGTACCTGAAGGGGAAACGTGCGTCGTGCGGGGAATGCGAGGTCGTTATAGCAACAGCTGACCAAGGTAGGCGTAAGTTCGGAGTACCAAATTTTATTTTAGAGGTTGACCCTTACGACTTGAAATCGACCTCCCTTATAGTATTTTGTCAACGGTTCTATGGCACGATGGGATCATCGAGAGCGACATGAAAATCCACCAGATTCTACCTCAATCCTCGGATGGAGTTGAAATGTCTTGGCACTCGCGCGTCAATCACCAGGGGTGTTCATCAAGTTCCTATACTATTAATGCGGCTTAGTACGTGAAAGCTTAACATGGAAGGAAGAACCGCAGTACGGATATCCGATTGATCCCTGCAGGGATTGAAAGCGTGTTTGTTTAAGTCAGTGTAATCTCGCCGATCTCGCCGGTACCACCCATCCATATTTCAGCAAGTTACAGCTCCGATTGTCCTGGAGTATTAAACGTGTTGCAAATGGGGCATCGTGACCATCATCAAGCCAGACCACTCCAATGGCGATTATCATTGCATGCGCCCTTGTTGTCTTGGCCAGTTTATGGATTGTGAAGCAACGATATCAGGCCGCAAGGCGGTTGCCATTACCGCCTGGACCACCTCGACGTTGGCCCTTAGGAAATACGATGCCAAAGTCATAGTAAGTCTTCGTCAAGGAACATCATATAATCATCTCTAAAACTTCATAGTGCACCGTTTCAATTCGCGAGATGGACAGAACAATATGGACCTGTGTTCTCCCTCAAACAAGGCCATAGGCTTTTCGTGATTATTGGACGTCATCAGGTAAGCACAAAGCAATTAATCCATCTTCTAGCCAGGTATGAAGTCAGTCTCGCTATAGGCTGCGGTGGATATCATGGAAAATGAGGGAGTAAATCTTGCCGACCGCCCGCGTTCGATTGCAGTGCAAGAGACACTATCTGGCGGGTTGAGAGTAGTCGTTGAGGGCAGCGGTGAGAAATTGCGCCGGATGCGCAGGTACACATCTCGTCTCTCTCCGGTGCAATAAGTGAGACTAAATATAAAGCAGGGTCTTGCATGCAGGCTTGCAACCCAAGGTTGCGGTGACATATGAGCCCATCCAGACCAAACATGCGAAGAATCTGGTTCTAGATATCTTAAATAATCCAAAGAACCACCAACGTCATGCCTTCCGGTACGAACATTATCATTTTTTCATGCGGCACAGTTGGTAATCCGAGTATTTTAGTTACTCAGCTTCCGTGGTCTTGTCCTTCACCTATGGCAAAACTACTCCGACTTTTTATACAGATCCTGAAGTCGTTGACATCAATAGGTTTTCCGTGCGTTTTGGTCAATCTATGAAGCCAGGAGCATACCTTGTGGATACGTATCCAATCCTGCGTTTCGTGCCAGGCTATCTAAGCCAGCTGAAGGCATGGCACCAAGAAGAATATGCTCTCTTCAAGAGGCAGATGGATGCAGTGCGATTACAGATGGTTCGTGATTTTGTTGTGATGACGGGTGTCTTCACTGACCACGGTGAAGCGTGAGGGGACCGCAGGACCATCCTTTACGAGGCTCGTTCTAGAGCACCCGAAACAATACCAGCTCGAAGACAAGGCACTGGAATATATCGCAGGAGGGATGTTCGGGGCTGGTACTGATACAGTAAGCTCTTACATTGCGTCGCATCTTAACTCGACGACTGTTGTAGACTGCTTCCTCAATCACATTTATGATAATGGCTGCTGCCGTCCACATTGATGCACAGGCTCGTGCGCAACAGGAACTTGATAACGTCGTGGGGCGTACGCGGCGTAGGTTGCGCCTTTTCTTTGTTCATTTACTGACTGAGATAGCTCCTAATTAGTGCCGACATTTGCTGATCAGGAAATGCTGCCGCAGGTTACCGCGTTCATGCTCGAGAGTATGAGGTGGAGACCTGTCGCCCTCGCAGGTACGTCTTATTCGAGTGATAATGACGCAATAAAGAACGACGTTCTTGCATTGCAGGCTTTGAGCATCGCGCGACTAAGGACATAATTTGGAATAACTACCTCATTCCTGCAGGTGCAACTGTTATTGGCAGCCATTGGTCAGTAGGCGATCATTTGAGTAGTCTCACCTTTGTGTCTGACGATCGTCTGTCAGGGCTATCGCAAACGATCCCGAGGTCTTCCCAGAACCGCACAAGTTCAATCCTCAGCGTTGGATTGACGATGCAGGTCGTTTGCGCACTGATCTCCGGTTTTTCGCTTTTGGCTTTGGTCGCCGGTGAGTGGCATCGCTTATCTCGACCCCTTCTTATGCCTTACTTGAAAATGGTAGACTTTGTCCCGGTCAACATGTCGCGAATCGGTCTGTCTTCCTCACCACGGCTCTTATTCTCTGGGCGTTCCGCCTTTCCGAGAATCCCACAGCCAAGATCGACACACTTGCTTTCTCAGACACTGCAATCATACATGCTACTCCGTTTGAGATATGTCTGGAGAAGAGAATCGATGAGAATCTGATCAGGGAACTGTGCGCACCGGGGGAGTGAATGACGTTTATCCAGGAACTTGTAATATGTAAACTTAACGAACGTGTAGTACAACTACGGGAAATGCACAATTTTCACTTATTGTCGAATATGTATACTACAACACATATTTGCATCGGATCTACTTTTAGGATATGCCGGAGCTAATTCGATGCTTTAGCCACCTAATATGAATATGCACTTTAAAACACTGACCTCAGTCAGTAGTCTTGATTTTCCTGTACCGGAACTTTGGACGATCGAACAAAACTTAGCATAGTATGGCCTGCCCATGCCACTTCCCCTAAACTTCATGTTGTTATTTTTCAGGTACTCGTAGAAGCCGTTCACTGCCTTTCCAACGTAAGGCCTGCGAATGAATCGTTAAGGAAGTCCAACCGGCCGTCATCTAGGATATAACTGATTTGAGATATGACTATAGGTTTCACAAGATCAAAGTCTCTCACCTTAAGACGACCGCGCGCGGGGATCGCTAGCTTGAGGTATTTGAAATATTTCTGCGTTTTTAATAACTTTCAGCATAGGGACATCTATGTCGCTAACACGATCTCTCACCAAGGTCAGCGATTTGGGAGAACGAGCGTATCTGACAGGCGTGGCGCATTATTCCCTGTAATTTAGGGTATCACTTTAATGCCTCCTCCGCCATGGCAATACCGGCATTATCCTTCAGGTATTGGCCTTTGAGCGATGTACTGGCCACGGAAACGAATACTAACATGACTGAGGCAAGCAGGAAATCCAAATATTCAGACCCTTCTGAATCATCTTCAAGGATAATCTCGAAGATGGCAGGATGAACAGTTTTGAGCATTATCTGATCGATCTCATCACGGTGTTCTGATGTGAGCGGCAGGAGTGTCATAGGAAGATCGTCTGATGTTGATGAACCCGACTGTTGATGTAAATGTTAAGAGTGCACGTTTCTGTGTCAAGGGTATCATTGGAAGGATGCTCGATTGATTACATAATTGATTATAAAGACTGTTCAAATCGAAGCATCGAGGGCAGTACATGACTTACACAGGATCCGTGCGAGTCACTTGAATTTGTGAGCTAGCAGTTGCCAAGTGAGTGCTAGTACCGCGACTAAGAACCCTAATAAGCTAAGTATGAAGCCAGTGTAATCATGCACTATAATCTTAGCGGTGTACCCGTCGCTCATCACAGCTCTGTTCTGGAATACTTAACATGTTGCAAAGTAGCGAGGTATAGTGACTATCAACAACCCCAACCGTTTCAATGGCGATTATCATTGCATGTACCCTCACTATTGTCTTGGTCACCCTCTGGATTATGAAGCAACGATCGCAAACCGCAAGGCAGCTGCCATTACCGCCAGGACCGTCTCGACGTTGGCTTTTAGGAAATACGATGCCAAAGTCATAGCAAGTCTTTGTCAAGGAACATCATATGATCATCTCTAACTCCTCACGTAGTGCGCCGTTACAATTCGCGAGATGGACAGAACAATACGGACCCGTCTTCTCCCTCAAACAAGGCCGTAGGATTTTCGTGATCATAGGACGTCATCAGGTAAGCACAAAGCAATTTGTCGTCTAGTCAGGCGTGAAAAGTGGGTCGCGTCATAGGCTGCGGTGGATATCATGGAAAAAGAGGGAGCAAATCTTGCGGATCGCCCGCGTTCTATTGCAGTGCAAGAGACACTATCTGGCGGGTTGAGAGTGGTCCTTGAAGGCAGCGGTGATAAACTGCGTCGGCTGCGCAGGTACACATCTTGTCTCTCTCAGGTGCAACCAGCGGGACTAAATGTGAATCAGGGTCTTGCATGCAAGCTTGCAACCCAAGGTCGCGGAGACCTATGAGCCCATACAGACCATGCATGTGAAGAATATGGTTCTAGATATCTTAAATGATCCAAAGAACCATCAAGGTCACGCCATGCGGTACGAACGCTACCTCTGTCCGCCCAGTACAGGTATTAATCCGAGCATTTTAGTTATTCGGCTTCCGTGGTCATGTCCATCACGTATGGAAAAACTACTCCGACTTCGTATACAGATCCTGAAGTCGTTGCCGTCATTAGGTCTCTTGCGCGTTTTGGTCAAGCTATGAAGCCGGGAGCATACCTTGTGGATACTTATCCAATCCTGCGTTTCGTCCCAGGCTACCTGAGCGAGCTGAAGGCATGGCACCAAGAAGAACTTACTCTCTTTAATGGGCAGTTGGACGCGGTGCGAAGACAAATGGTTTGTGATCTCGTTGTTCTGACAGATCTCTTCACTCATCATTGTAAAGCGCGAGGGGACTGCAAGACCATCGTTTGCTAGGTTCATTTTAGAGCACCAGAAGCAGTACCAACTGGAAGACAAAGAACTAGGATATATAGCAGGAGGAATGTTTGGGGCAGGTTCTGATACGGTAAGCTCTTACACTACATCGAGTCTCGACTTGACAACTGTTGTAGACGGCTTCCGCAATCACATTTATGATGATGGCTGCTGCCGTTCATACTGATGCACAGGCTCGTGTACAAGAGGAACTTGATAACGTCGTGGGGCTTACGCGACGTAGGTTGCACCTTTTCTTTGTTCATCTACTGACTGAAATAGCCTCTGATTAGTGCCGACATTTGACGATCAGGAAATGCTGCCGCAGGTTACCGCGTTCATGCTCGAGAGTATGAGGTGGAGACCTGTCGCCCTTGGAGGTACGTCTGATTTGAGTTGTGATGACGCGATAATGAGCAACGATCTTACACTACAGGCCTTGCACATCGCGCGACCAAGGACATAATTTGGGAGAACTATCTCATTCCTGCAGGTGCGACTGTTATTGGCAACCATTGGTCAGTAGGCAATCATTTTCGTCCTCTCACCCTTGTGTCTGACGCTCATTTTTCAGGGCTATCGCAAACGATCCCAAGGTCTTCCCAGAACCGCACAAGTTCAATCCTCAGCGTTGGATCGACGATGCAGGTCGTGTGCGTGATGATCTCAAGTTTTTCGCTTTTGGCTTTGGCCGCCGGTGAGTAGCATCGCTCATATCTCGACCCCTACACATGTCTTACTTGAAAATGTCAGAGTGTGTCCCGGTCAACATGTCGCGACTCGATCTGTCTTCATCAACACGGCTCTTATTCTCTGGGCTTTCCGCCTTTCTGAGAATCCTACAGCAAAGATCAACACGCTTGCTTTCTCGGATACTACAAACATACATGCTGCTCCGTTTGAGATATGTTTCAAGAAGAGGGTCGATGAGAACCTGATTAGGGAACTGTGTGCACCGGGGGAGTAAAAGGTGTGAAACCGCAGAGTCACCAAGGGTAGAAACAGACCGAGCAGAGGAATTGGGAGCTGGCGCACCAGTGGTGCTACGATCAATATTATTTATCATACATCTATGAGGAACATACACGCAATCACTTTACTTTACTGTAGTCGTATAATCATAATTTGAGTTGTATTAAATTATCCTGCACCTTGCGGTTCTCACTGTCCATTGCGTAGCCTGGCAGTACCAAATTTGACCAGTGCTTCGAGAGTCGTTTGGATTGTACTTCCTTCTGGAGAGACAAGCCATCACAGCTCCCTCACAAAAATAGGGATGTTGGCCCAAGAATGGAGACGTGTGTCTCCATCCTTCTCAAACTAACATCCCTATTTTCGCTAATTCCAGAAGCATAGATCCGCAGACATCCGTCTGTTTTGACATGCTTTGGCTCCTTCTCTGGAAATGCAACGTTAAACTCCGATTTTGCATTGAGGCTGAGAAGAGCGATGTAGGATGGGCACTAGATCAAATTATGCTTGCGAGTGATGCACCGCGACGCTTACTCATTCCAGTTCCTCCTCGACTTTGTCGGAAATGGACATATGTGAGACGCAATCGAGATCACCGGAGCCAATGGCAGGATAGTCAAAATATGTGGGGATCATCTTGTCAACGACCGGCTGCAGATGATAGCATTGTACCGCGCTTGTGCGATGCCGGTGTCGACGTTGAGGTAACATATGTCTAGAAGCTTACCTCAACGAATCGACTTCAGTTTGATCGGGAACTTGCGGTGAGATAACTCCGTAATAGACACCCAATATTAATGCCAGAAATTGGTTGATGTAGGTATGCTGAAATGCTGCCTTGGCCTCTTTAATTGTCCTCTACCAGGACAGTCTCGCCAAATAGGTACCCCAGGAAATCGATGACGAAGACCTTCTGGCAATCTATTGGTTCGGTATCCTCGATTCTGTCATTGTGTAAATCCTGCATCACGCCTTTGGCGCCCTCATGGGGTCTGTGCGGATAAAGAGATCCTTCATCTGACAGTCACGTCTAATCAGAGTGCAATCTATAGTCGCTTGCCGTCCTTTAACTCGCGTTGGAACCTGCTTCAAAGTTCACGAGCAGCTCTTTCCACACGGCGCTCCTCCCTGGCTTTCCGAGTATCTGGTAGGGATTCGGGAAACAAGACGTGTGAAAGAATCCTGTGCAAGCAAATCGTTGTCTTCATCAATCAAGTCGAGCGTCAGTAGCAACATAACATGCTAACTTGTAAAAAGTTGGCCAAGCGTGTTCAAGAGGACACAGCACAAAAAACACAGAATTGTGGTCTACCTCCAACTGACTTCGTGGAGTACCATACGCATGAACCACGCATGCGCCTCGCACTTTTATTCAAAAGATGCCATAGTCGGGAAACGAGGTCGCAGCATGTAAGATTCGAGATGAACGATCATTTATTTTGACAGCGTGTCGGTAATCGAGAATGTCGCTGGTGATCGTGTTGCATTGTAGAATTGTTGAAGCGTGTCCGAGACTTGCTAAGACACTTGAAAATGTGAGAAAGAGATCGGCACGACATTGAGCAAGAATACACTCACAAAGTATCACGCAGTCCATCTTTGCGATACTAGGACGCCAAGGAACGGCATGCAGATCAGAAGTGGTTCTCAAAAATATTTGAAGAAAAAGGAAAAGTTTCGATCAGAACATGCATGTACGGATGTATCGACAAAACGGAACACGCCAGCCGGGTAAGACAGATCGAAACGACAAACGACTGTGCGATGTCGCATGAAACTCGAAATTTTGGGGTGGGATGCAAAAGGTAATCAATTACTCACCGTCCCGAGGAAGAGATACGTCAGAAGCTACGAGAACTTTGGTTGGAAACGTCTTTGAGCACAGAACGAGAATGAAGAGATGTAACGAACGAACGAGCGTTCAAGTTGTAGCATGTGCTTGTAGAATCGGATACTGCACGCGCACTGACTTCTCCAGTCAATACGAGACGAACGTTATGTGTCCCTGATTTGATTGGCACAGAGTGCGGATAGAAAAAGTGACATGAGACGTCGGCCTTGGCGTGAGCAAATAGCAAGGGCAGGCGTAACAGGGAATTTTGGCTGAGAAAGGGAACATAAACCTGGACCAAAAGTAAAAAACCAGTCCCCTATTTTAGGGTCAACGACTACATTTTCTCGCCACCTCTTTGGACTGCAACTCTCAGGCTGCGAACGCAAACCAAAGGACGTCAATTTTTCATGCGGAATTATTGTCATAACTCTACGGTACGTGAAAGCCACACGAGCTGACGAGACGTTCCCACTGATCACTTTCCCTTGCTTCTAACATCCTTATAAGATGCGCCGGTATTAGCAAGCCTGATTATTTTAATGGCGATTATCATTGTATGCACCCTTGTTGTCTTGGCCAGCCTCTGGTTTGTAAAGCAACAGTATCAGGCCGCAAGGCAGTTGCCATTACCGCCAGGACCGCCTCGACGTTGGCTTCTAGGAAATACGATGCCAAAGTCATAGTAAGTCTTTGTCAAGGAACATCGCATGATCGTCTTTAACCCCTCACGTAGTGCGCCGTTACAATTCGCGAGATGGACAGAGCAATACGGACCTGTCTTCTCCCTCAAACAAGGCCATAGGATTTTCGTGATTATAGGACGTCATCAGGTAAGCAAAAAGCACTTTGTCCTCTAGCCAGGCATGAAGCGGATCTCATTATAGGCCGCGGTTGATCTCATGGAAAAAGAGGGAGCACATATTGCTGACCGCCCGCATTCTATTGCAGTGCAAGAGACACTATCTGGCGGGCTGAGAATAGTCCTTGAGGGCACTGGTGAGAGATTGCGCCGGCTGCGCAGGTATACATCTTGTCTCTATCAGGTGCAACCAACAATATTAAATGTAAAGCAGGGTCTTGCATGCAAGCTTGCAACCCAAGGTCGCGGAGACCTATGAGCCAATCCAGACCAGGCATGCGAAGAACTTGATTCTAGATATCTTAAATGATCCAAAGAACCACCAAGGTCATGCCATGCGGTACGAACACTACTTCTTGCTTGTGCGGTGCAGATGGTGATCCGAGCATTCAGTTATTCAGCTTCCGTGGTCATGTCCTTCACCTATGGAAAAACTACTCCGACTTCGTACACAGACCCTGAAATTGTTGCCGTCAAGAAGTCTCTTGGGCGTCTTAGTCGAGCCCTGAGGCCTGGAGCATACCTTGTGGATACGTATCCAATCCTACGTTTCGTCCCAGGCTACCTGAGTCAGCTGAAGACATGGCACCAAGAAGAACTTGCTCTTTATAACGGGCAGTTGGACGCGGTGCGAAGACAAATGGTTTGTGTTTTTTTTTTGTGATGACAGATGTCTTCGCTTACCCCTGTGAAGCGTGAGGGCACTGCAAGGCCATCTTTTGCGAGGTTCATTTTAGAACACCAGGAAGAGTACCAGCTTGAGGACAAGGAACTGGCATACGTTGCAGGAGGAATGTTTGGGGCCGGTGCTGACACGGTAAGGTCTTACTTTGCATCGCGTTCTAAATTGACCACTTTTGAAGACTGCGTCTGCAATCACATTTATGATAATGGCTGCTGCCATTCACACTGATGCACAGGCTCGTGTACAAGAGGAACTTGATAGCGTCGTGGGGCGTACGCGACGTAGGTTGCGCTTTTTCTTTGTCCATCTACTGACTAAGATAGCTACTTATTAGTGCCGACATTTGACGATCAGGAAATGCTGCCGCAGGTTACCGCGTTCATGCTCGAGAGTCTGAGGTGGAGACCTGTCAACTTCGGAGGTACATCTTATTTGCATTGATGCCGCGACGGTTAATGACGACCTTGCACTAAAGGCCTTGCGCATCGCGCTACTAAGGACCTGATTTGGAATAACTACCTCATTCCTGCAGGCGCGATTGTCATTGGCAACCTTTGGTCAGTAGGCAATCATTTTCGTTTTCTCACCTTTGTGTCTGACGCTCGTCTTTCAGGGCTATCGCAAACGATTCTGAGGTCTTCCCAGAACCGCAAAAGTTCAATCCTCAGCGTTGGATCGACGATGCAGGTCGTGTGCGCGGTGATCTCAAGTTTTTCGCTTTTGGCTTTGGCCGCCGGTGAGTCGCAACGCTCATATTTCGACCCGTTCTCATCGTGCTTTACTTGGAAATATAAGAGTCTGTCCTGGTCAACATGTCGCAAATCGATCTCTCTTCATCAACACGGCTCTCATTCTCTGGGCTTTCCGTCTTTCTGAGAATCCTGCAGCGAAGATTGATCCGTTTGCTTTCTCGGATACTGCAAACATATATGCTGCTCCGTTTGAGATATGTTTGGAGAAGAGGATCAACGAGAATCTGATTAGGGAACTGTGCGCACCGGGGGAGTACAAGGCGTCTATCTAAAGAACTCGAAAATTCACTTAATGCATCATGCATCATCATGCGCTATACGCCTTTGTGCGTGGGAATCTATTCAGGATCTTGTGGCGTGCTATTAGCATGTAGCCTCAAAGTTGTTCTGGAATCTTTACTATACGCACAATACTATATCATCCGCTTTTGCCATGGGAAAACTGAACATAGCTCACCATAAATCATACCATCCCTACCGCCGGGACAATATCGAACGTGTACGGAAAGATGAAGAGGAAGCTGCGCAAAAGGAAGCTGAGGCCGAGGGAAGGGTAGTGCTGGCTGATGCAGAGGCTCGGTTGGACCTCCTCCGAGAGCGTGCAGGACTTGGAAAAGGAAAAGGGAAGAAGAAAGAGGATGACATGAAGGCTATAGAGGACGCTAAGGCCTCTATCCTTGCCAGGGACTCGAATCAAGGTCATATCAATCTATTTGAGGATTTAGAACAGGTTGGTTTGTTCTTGGCGTTTTGTACGCATATATTTATGATATTGTGCTAGCAAGAAATGATCACTGCCATGCGGGCGACGAAGAAGACCGCACAGCTGGAGGCTGAGAAGGGCGTGCCGCTAGCTCCAAGTGCTAAGGACCTCAAACCATGGTACAGCGAGCGCGATAAGGGAAAGGAATATGGGGAAGATGAGAAGAGTGAACGCACAAGGTATGCAGCTCATACTTCTCCAGCCTTACATTTACAACTTCCCCTCAATATCTCAGGATGCGGGATCTTGCTTCGAAGACTATGAACGACCCTCTCACAGCCATCACGCATCAGCTTGCATCGAGTTCTTCATCCCACAATTCTTCCCCTGTCCCTCAGCCGTCGTGGCATCGTTCCAAGCATCGCACGCAACCTGGCCGCAGTGATTCAAATGATAAGATGAAACCACCTCCCCCACCCTCGGATGCTACGACTATACGCCTCACACGTGAATCATCAGAACGCGAACGTGCGCTGGCGTTGATTCGGCGAAAGCAGCGTGAAATGAGAGGCAGCGAGACGCCGAGCACTGTGCACGGGGGCCTAGATGAAGGGTATGGGGACGTATTTAACCGGCGGGAAGTCGAAGAAGCGCATTCATATCGACGAAGGCGGTGGTAAGTACAATCCCTGTCCATGAAACATATTTATTGCGTGTATGCTCTACATCCCACGGCGGCAATATGACGGGTTGTTGTATCAATGGTTGAAGTATTTGGCTTGTTTCTGGACGTGCTGACTAGTCATCAGCGAAAGACCCAATTTTTCACTTGTGCAACGATTTGAAGCCACCATAGAAACGCCAGGAACATGCGAAACGGTGGGCCGTCTTTCATGGGTATCCTTCTCGAGCAACGTAGGCATCAGCTACGAAAACTGAGATGCTTTTTGAGGAGGTCAATTTTTGGTGCCGCGTGCGTGACTGATTTATGTCTTGGTTGGTGAGCGGGGTTTACAATTCATTCCTGGATTTTCGCAGCCATCATTACTGCTATCCTGGCTGCGGCATGTCATCATTACGCTGGAGACCTGTCGACCCGCTCGGTAGATTGTCTTCCTTTGGTTGTCAGCGACCTTTAACTGTTAGCACAGGTTTTTCCCATCGTGCCACGAGGTATATAATGTGGGTATGTGGAATTGCTGTTCCAGAAATCAGGACCCGATATAAGCTTGCGAATTAATACTTGTGCGTACAGAAAGGGTTACGGATCCCCATTGGCGCAACAGTCTACGGCTGTCAGTCTGTCACTGGTGCGATCATTAGTTCGTCATCCCTAACTCATGAGTGACTATTGTACACTACAGCTATTTCTCGTGATGCAACTGCTTTTCGTAACCCCGAAAACTTTGATCCCCAGAAATCAAAGAAATGAGTTGAACCATCCGGGCGCATTCGTTCGGATCTCAGGTCTTTCCCATTTGGCTTTGGCAGGCACCGGCAGGCAGTCGTCTGATCCATTCATTGGTACTGAACTAACAGATAAATCAGTGTTTGTCCATGACATTATCTAGCAAGTGATTGTCTTTGATCACACTCGCGCATTTGTTCTGCCAGGCTTTTCGAATCTTAGAAGCCAAGGATGCGCCCATGGATGGGTGGGCATTCGAAGACAATGTTATTGCACACCCACAGCCATTTGCGGTCATGTTTCCTCCCAGGTTGGATGTGGTGTTAAATGTAGGGAGAGCATCGGGATAGGTAAAAGCGCCGAGAGGGACATAACGAGGCGACGAGTGACATCGGCCAGAACTCGTCTCATATACCATATTTCACAACATCTATACATACGATGACACCACTTCAATCCGCTCTTTGGCGATATCTCGTGTTTACAGTAGCAACTCAGGAAGTCTAATATAAGTACAGTCTTGTTCTTCGTCTGTCTCTGAAAGAGATACAGCGTATCTCTTCGGGTTTCCACCCTCGATGATACCATGTACAATTGATTGCCGTGAGCAAAGGAATTCATTTGCAGGTCGAGCGCGGGGCTAGCGTCAATCCTTGACAACCATTAAACGTAATTGGAAAACTGTCTTCGATTCACCGTCTAGACTCTGACGAATTCCGGTTTGGATGGAATAGAAAGTTTATTTTTATTGGATTGTCCGTTGGGGGCTTGCCCTATGTCGGACACTACTTACAGTATCGTACTCGTATCGTATGTTCTTCTATGTATTTCGTTTGTCTATGCTATGCAATGGTCCGGGCTTGCGCAAGGACAGAGACGCCATCTGAATGCGAGAGTTATGGCGTATCTTTAGGGGAAGTTACATCTCCGAAGGTGCTTTCTCGTGCTGGCAATGTACTTTAGGGCCGCTTTCCTTCATTTCCTTTCGTTCAGAATATATTTGAGGGTGCATCGTCGTGGGACGATCTCGCTTGCGCATGACGTTTCAGTGACGCGTGAACGCTGGTCATGTCAATGGGAAGTGGTGTACTGATTCGTTGCATCTTGCTGATGGTTCCGTTGAAGTGCTTCAAAAACATTTGTTGAGTGCGACGTGTCAGGTAAACAGTTGAAATATAAGTGAGCTGTGTCATCTTGGCAGTAATTCGTTATTCTCCGCGAACTTCTTCGGCGGAGCTGAGGGGTCTATGGATGAGATCGTTGCCTGACGTGGGGATTTGAGCAGTATGGCGCGGGCTTCGTCATTGATCCGGCTGGTAAAGTTCTGCTTTAGCACCGTTTTGCTTAACCGTAGCGTTCTAGGTGTCCCTTTTTTTGTGAGGAACGACACTAGTAGCGTCCGGTCGTCTGACAACTCTCCCTCTGCAGAAACGGAAAGTTGATGTGGGGAATGCAGTGGCTTCCAAAGGACAGCATAGTTTGTTGAGGACCGACATGAGGGACATTCATATCAAACGGTGACCCGTTTTCCTCCTTGAGTAAAAGGGCGCTGCACAAAACTTTACCTGCTATGATGACTGAGTATGAGGAAGAAGCACAAAACGAAATTAGACTCAAAAGTTCGGGCAATTCCGGACACGGCAACACCGAAGTGCCACTTGGCAAAATTGATTTTCAAAACATGCATGTATGACAAATGGCCCATGGGTCGTGTGATCAACTACCGTGATCTCCGAGTCAGCGTCGTCACGTTCCATGGTTTCTTTCTCGTGTTCTAGGAGGGCAAAATGCTGTCCGGGTCTCATCAAGTCAGGACCTCCAAGAATTGTGTCGCCATCATTGTTCTGCGTCTGAGGTGTGAGTGGTAGTGCCCACGCAAAATTGACTTTTAGGTCGGCAGCTACATTAACATCGATGCCTGGCTGGGTCCCGTGACTGGCCCGTGCATGACGTGGACGAATCATCATGGCCATCAGCGGCAAGGCCCTTTGATGAACATGATGGTAACGAAGATTTACTCAAACCTTTACCAGTGCCTCAAACGCGTCTATCGTTTTACAAGATGGTTTGGGGGCCGGACATCGCAACCTTAGATGCGAAGAAAATCCGAGCTTACCGGACCGGTTACTACCAGAATTGAATGGTTGTCGGCCTTCTCGCCATGATTGAAATTACCATGACTGGGGTATCTAATGCAAAAACACTACATGTTTCCAGAAAGGTTCACTATGGCCATATGGTAAGTTGAAGAATTAGGACATGTAATCGTCTGTATGTCGACATCCTGCCGAATTACGCCAGCCGATTGGTGTCTGCCAATCTATGCCATTCGCCTGGCAGAACCAGCTGGCAGGATTTCGGACTCCTGCCCACAAAATGCATGACATACTTATTTAAACCAGGGCTGAACAAACCGCTACTACGCAGCACAAACTTGGTCGACGAATCTCTCACTCAAACTGTGATTATTCAATCCATAGTAGCTAATCATGACAGTCGATGTGCTCGATTCAGAGTCGTTCTGTTCTGCATATACCTTTGTTTTCGCTGGAGTAGTGATTGTTGTTGTGCTTGGCCAATACTGCAGAGCAAGATTATTTGCCAAACATGCATTCCCGCTACCTCCTGGACCTCCAAAAACTTGGTTCTGGGACAGTGCTATTCCATCAAACAAGTGAGTCGTGTTTGTGCTTCAACAAACTGCTCAATTTTTGCTTCAGTGTGACTCCTACAATGATGCAATGGATACAAAAATATGGACCGGTCGTCTCTGTATGTCAGGGAAATCAAGTCTCAGTCATCATTGGAAGTGTAGAAGTACGTGGTCAGTTGTTGGATACCATGCTTCACAAGGACTCACGGCCCTCTAGACAGCCAACGATATTATGGAGAAAGAAGGGAGTGCTCTCGTTGACCGCCCCCAGGCCATAGCTGCTGGGGAAATTTTTTCTCAAAGTATGCGTCTTGTCCTTATCCCTGTTGGGTCACGGTTCCGTCGGTTCCGCAAAGCAGCACAGGCACAGTTACAACCAAGAGCAATAGAAGCGTACCGAGACATATTATTAGAAGATGCGAAACAGCTTGTATGCGATGTTTTGAAAGCACCAGAGAAACACCAGGAACATGTGAAACGGTGGGTTATTAGTATCCTCCTATAGTTATTGATTTTGCCAAACCGCCACAATGTAGATTTTCGAACTCGGTCATCCTGCGTATGACATATGGGAAGTCGATGCCGACCGCGAACACGGATCCTGAGGTAGTAGGGATGAAGCTTGCGGCAGAACGTTTTGGAATTGTTATGCAACCCGGTGCTTTTTTGGTTGATCGCATCCCTATCCTGCGGTACGTACCTTGGTATGGACTCCAGTTGAAGGCCTGGTCTCGTGAAGAGCATGAGCTGGTACTAGGGCAGATGGAGCGGGTACAAAATGAGATAGTGACTCGTGTTTCTATTGCGATGTGTGTTTTGTGCCCTGATATCTCTTTCAGGCAAGTGGTATCGCTGGGCCGTCTTTCATGCGTACACTTCTTGAGCAACATGGGCATCAGCTATCGAAAACTGAGATGTGTTCTCTGGCGGGGACGATTTTTGGTGCCGCTGTTGACAATGTAAATAATTGACGTCTTGATTGGTGAGCGGAATGAACAGCTCATGCTTAGATTTCTGCGGCCATCAACACTGCTGTCCTGGCTGCGGCTTGTCATCCCGAGGCGCAAGCGCGCGTACAAGAACAGCTAGATGCAGTCGTGGGTAGAGAACGAGGTATGTCTCGCTTTTATGGTTCGGGTATGGTAATACTCAATTTCTTACTCACAGCTCCATCTTTCGAAGATGTCCAATGTCTTACTGAGTTGCGCGCGTTTATGCATGAATCATTACGCTGGAGGCCTACCGTCCCGCTCGGTAGAACATCTTCCTTTCGTTGTCAGCGACTTTTGACTGTTGGCACAGGTTTTGCCCATCGTGCCACCAAGGATATAGTATGGGTTGGTGTTTTTGAAACTTGGATTGGATATAAGATTGCGGATTGATACTTGTGCGTACAGAAAGGGTTATGGGTCCCTGCTGGAGCAACAGTCTACGGCTGTCACTGGTGTGATCGTTGATTCGTCATCCCTAACTTACTGGTGACTATTGCACACTACAGGGCTATTTCTCGTGATGCAACTGCTTTTCCTGACCCCGAAAACTTTGATCCCCAGAGATGGATTGAACCATGTGGGCGCATTCGTCAGGATCTCAAGTCCTTCTCATTCGGCTTTGGCAGGCGGTCAGTCGTCTGATCGATTCAGTGATATACCGAACTAACAGATAAATCAGGGTTTGCCCAGGACAGTATCTAGCAAGTGATTCTATGTTGATCACTCTTGCATATTTGTTCTGGGCTTTTCGAATCTTAGAAGTCAAGGATGCGCCCATAGATAGGTGGGCATTCGAAGACGCTGTTATTAGAAGCCCACGGCCATTTTCGGCCCTGTTTTCCCCTAGATTGGATGTGAGGCATTTGGAAGAAGCCGTGGGGCAATCCTAGATATATATAAATGACCTTTTGATACTATGTATTGTCGGAAGCCCGTCCACTATAATGGTCAGTGGTTACTCTTACGCATCGCACGCCTAGCTTGGTTCTACTGGTGTTCACAAATAGCCTGACTTGATTAACTTAGAGCGCGAAAACGTGTTGTCTGCGATTATCTTTATCAACTAGGTAGGAAGGTCTATTTAGTATGATCATACTTTTTACCTCAGGACAATTTATGTGCGTGTCACAGTCATCTTTAGCTGGCGAAAACATACTGTGTAAAGGTCAAGCGATGCCAATGCACGAGCATCACCTTTGAAACCGTCCTTCACTTCCGCATATGATATTGCACCCGTCTGTTCTCATGGCTGGGTCCGCATCATGATATTTGGCATGGCACAGCTTGTGTTTGACACTGCATCCGCATTTTTTCTTACATTTATTCAACTAAAAGCTCACTGTAGAGCTATTTTGGCTACCACGCCCGCATGCTTGCCAGTCGGTGTTTCTTCAATGTCAGACATTCCCCATGAAAGTGGTCGGCAGTTTTATGTTGATTATTGCGATACTCAACAATATATTGCCTTAAATACCAATCCCATCTGTTCCGACAGCCTTACTGATGTCTCACTTGAAAATGCTCTTCGATAGATCATGTTCTACGTGTTACGCTCTGCATGCCATACTGGTCGGGATACACGTTGTCCTTGTCATCTCTTATATATCTCATTGGGAACATCATGTAACCCTCACATATACGCCAACGACCAGCAATTTTTGGTCTGTGGTACTGAGCGTTTCACTGCAAGCCTTTTACACAGTATGTGACCTCTTTGGCTGATAGACGTACCAATCAAAAGGCTTCATCCAGATCTACACGGCTGTCCTACTCTTCCTCATCCAACGGCTAGCAATTTCAAGGATGCTAGTACGCCGTCAGAAATTGACAGCCATTCACGATATCTCTGGTGCATGGGCGGGCATCGGCTCTGCACTCAGTAGTGTCTGGCAACAAATTGGCATCCCTGCCTCATGGTGGATGACTTCTGCTGTAACGGTCTACCTTGCAAGCATTTCTGTGCTACACGTCACCTCTTCCAGTCTTCTACAATTACAAACATTCAATACAATCATAACGACTTCTGTGCCAATAACACTGGCATGGCCGGACAACCTAGCATATTTCCCTGCCAATTCAAGCTACTCCTCCATATATGACGTGAACTGGTCTGCCATTACTGCATCCTTACCGGTTTTGAATCAATTGCCTGGAGTGGCCTTTACTGGATTATCCAATACTACAGTCTACGACACCCCACAAATAAATGCTACATCAGGAAATGCGATCGTAAATGCAACAACGATAACATCGCGTTGCGGAATACTTCCCAATATAACGTACTCTGTGGATTACACTCAAAATTATCCGGTGATCATGGCATATTCTTCTGTTGGCGGTGAAACGTTGCTTCAATTTCTCATACAGGGTGTTCCCTGTACGTCATCACAGTTTTGAATGGGTTTCTTCGTGTTTAGAAATGTCCATAGGGTCGGACCTGATACAAGTGGTTGACCCCGTACCCATTTCTCCAAATGCTAGCGACGTGAGGCTTCTCTGAATCCATCTCGTCGTGAATACTGCCTGACATTTATCTCACATCAGGCCTTCAATATTCAAAACCAGGCTGGCGTCGTCTTGATGGTGTCTACACTATTAGACATAGATCCCTCAGTGCAAGGGACGCTCGCTGTACCAGTACCTTGGGAAATGAGGAATTCTTGTGCGTCGGCTTCTTTGTAATACTTCCATGATAACATAGATATTTTGCAGCGGGGGTCCTCGAAGTCTATTTTATACAATGCTCGTTATCGACCATGAGCGCAGGAGTAGTGTTGGACATGCAAACCGACAGTTTGCAGAATCCCGTGTCTGCCTTGCAATCATCTGGGCAGCCATGGGAGACTAACACATGGACATCTAATGATTGGCAATCCGTGGTGTGTCAAAGCTCATTTCGAGTGGTCAAGACAGTTTGATGATGTACAACATACCCAAGATCGGTCAGGCTCTGGCTTTATCGAGCAGCAGTGGGTACTCATTTGCGGAAGTAGTGGAAGGAAATGTCACTTCCGAACCCTCAATAGCGGATGAGTTAAGACCTTGTCTTCACTCCTACACTGCAATCCCTTACCTATGGTTCGATTTTATAGGTATATCATGTCATTGGTAGGCTTAAATCTCACCGCCGAGTATTCCCAAGCTTCGCTGTGGGGTCTTCCCGTTCCTACCGCTGTTTTGAGCCCGGATAAACTCGAAGCTGCTATTGCACAAGTAGCCGCTCAAATCATCTGGATAGGTAAGCGGACCCGACTTTCGCCAGCATTGTCCTGCTTTCACTTTTGCTTATGCTATGCCCCACATTTAGCAGGGAAAATAGGCTCGTCTAATGGAGGACTTCCATCTGGGAACGGAATGACCTATGTCGACTAGGAGATAATTGGTCTACGTCTCAATGTCGGTTTGGACTGCACAGGACCTTTTTGCATTTGACTGATGAACCGTGTTGTAGATCAATATTCTTCCTGTGAGTCCGCGATAGTATCCACGCCATAGAAATTTATCGGAGATGAATTAATTCAGCTGTCCTGTGCGATATCTGCGTCGGCGATCATGATGGCATTCGCTTTATATATGACAAGAACATATAGCGTATCCAGCAACAGTCAAGCTGCCATCGAGAAGACAGGTGTATTGCAACTCTTGTGGCTGGGCCGTCATTCAGCTTCTGTCAACGAAGTTCTAGAAGATGTGGAGTATCCGACAGAGGCTAACCTGCGCAGCGCAGGCATGATTGATGTCTGTTTTTCGAAGACGATACCTGAACAGGAAGAGTTGAAGGATTCCACTGATTGCCTTGATCACGTTGACCACGGTCGTGACGATGTGATGTGAAACTGGCGTTAACATCTAGGTTCATCATTACTCTTTCTGTGATTCTTGCTTCTTGGTCACGGTACTATACAGTGATTCACCCAGAATTGAGTTTCGTCACTCAGCCACCGTTATGTAACCATGTTTCGCGCGGTCCCTCAGCATTTGTTCCTACTCGCTGAGGTGTATTTATTCTTGTACCTCGTATTTAGACTCATATTCACTTAGACTAGACTTGATCAAGTTTGCGCTTGCAGCCTTGCCAGTGAGTACGAATTTATGGTACTGCTAGAATAAAGTTTCACTGCTCGGACTTTCAAATAAGTCGAATTGTGACCGTTTACTATCGTTCAACACACTTGGAGGGAATCCAATGACGTCGCCGAATACACGAGCACCATACTAGATGCAAGTACTCCTACACCAGATGAACCAAAATCTAGGCGATGATGGACCAAGGAGGATGCCCAAGCTAAAGTCATCATCGGTCGAAACCTCTCAGGCTGCCGCCGTCGTACAGAATATGCTACTGTGCAATTGTTGATTCGTCCTCCCTAACAGTGCCTATTACACATTACCTTCCTTGAACTGTGGGCTACTATTTCTCATAATGCAACTGCTTTTTTTGGCCCCGAAAACTTTAACCCCCAGAGTGGGTTGAACCATACGGGCCCGGGCGCATTTGTCCCCGTCTCAAGTCTTTCCCATTTGGCTTTGGCAGGCTGTCAGCTGTCAGATCATTTCAGTGGTATTGAACTTACAGATTAATCATGGTTTGTCCAGGATAGTATCTAGCAAATGATTCTGCCCGGATATTTGTTCTGGGCTTTTCAAATCCTAGAACCCAAGGCCTAGAATGCGCTCATAGATAGGTGGGTATTCGAAGACAATGTTATTGCATACCCATGGGCCATAGCCGTTGTCGGTTATGTTTTTCCCCAGGTTGGATTTATGGCATACGAAAGAAGCCATGGCATATGTACATAACCTTTTGAGACTATGTATTGTCGGAAGCGTCCATCATGGTCCATTTCGTGCGTGCATTTTGGTATAGCTTGGTTTAGGAAGTAATGTAGTGAGCGTTTTGCAATGTGACATAAAAGCAGAGTACTTTTCCCTCCTCGACTGGCCAAAAAACAAAGGATGTAGTATAAACGGCACCATTCTAAGCCAAGAGTGCCTATCATTGTGCGCCTTCCTCGATCGGCCCGAGCTTTCTGCCTACAAAGTATTACCTGCATCGGTCGGAACTGGCAAGTCGACACGACCAGAAATCTTGTGACCCTGTCGAGTGACACAGTACTAGTGAGTATCAGTGTTGTTTTGTACTACACTTGCACCAGTTACATGCGGTCCCTTGCTGGCAGAAGATGATGTCTTCAAGATTGCCTCTCAATACTGCTGAAGATATACTGGTATCCACCTAATCTCGTCCAGTCCCCTAATGTGGGACAGCTTCCTGATTTCAATAAAGATCAGTCGGAAGACGACTCGTGACTCAGACGACTTGTGACTCGTCGAACATCAACTGCAAGATACTCACCACTTGCGGAATGTCAAAGCGAGGGTACCGGTATCCGGTTAACGAAAAGACTGAAAAAACTGAATGCTGACTTGGATCTCTCCGAAGATCGATTCTCAGGGGATGAAGCAGTATTAGAAGGAGGGAAGGTCTTCCTTGAATAGTCGACAAGTTAGGGGATACTATCAGGGACAAAGCTCATGTGCACTGGCAACCCGCGATGCTGCAAGCGTCTGTGTGATTACTGTTATGTTGCTATTCCAACAGATCCGGGCTGGCAATTGTCAGGAGGTCCTGACTGGATCCGGAATCATGGTAAGTTCTGGGCACTCACTCGTCACAAGACAAGCTGTCTTGGTGTATTGACTTCCTGAAGACATCGTGTTCATCCGGTAAACGAATAAGCATCAAGTGCAAGGGCTGGCGACCTTGAACACTTGCAGAATGATGAACACCATGTCTTTTCAGAACGAAAGACGTCTAGGAGGGTTTACTGGGAAACGAATTGTGATTATCGTTCCTGTTGAAGGACCGCGGAGTTTCAAAAGCAAAGCTTCAACATTACATTACCTCTTTGGTCTTGACTTTCGAGCAGCTTTAGAAGCGAGTGAAGCATATTCTTACCCTTTTCTTTGTTCTCAGGTGCACGAATTGCTCGCGGATGGCCTTGAAGTTTCCAACACGCTGTGCCCTTCTATCTAATTGCACAACGGGTTCGGTTGCCAGATCATCTGGGACGAGCTGATGTTCAACATACGCGAAGCAAGAATACAAGTACTACAAGTCTGGGATTCTGGCAATCTGCTGGTTAGTATTGTCAAGTGTCTCTTGTGGTAATAATGAAGGGCTATGTTATACCGGGTGAGCCCATTCCGAACGTATTGAAATGCATATTTCATGTGTTAGTAGGAATCACCTTCATGGACGAACTGTAGTTCCGTGGTACCTCATGGTACACTTGCTATAAGCTTTGCCATCATATGGGGTCAGATTCCCCAAAATGAAAGCGTTCTGTTCGGAAGTATATGTCATGGGGTTGTTCATTAACTCCATACCCTCCTGTCGGCTCTTGAGGTATAGCTAATCATGAGGTTGCCCAATTCTGCTAGTTGTCTACTTCATTGTCCTCAGCAATATAAAAGGGGTGTTGGTTTGTGCCCACTTTCCTCAGTACTTTCATTTTATCACCTCAAGAAAGCAATGGCGCATTACTCAAAGTTTCTCCTGTTGAGTGCACTGTTAGCGTTATCCGCTCTCGTCTCTGGGTTGGGCACATCCTGCTCAGCACCGTTGGGTAGTGGAACAGCGGGTCCAGGTGATCCGTATTGGTTTCAGACCATCAAGCATCAAGGAACTTCGGCTTTCAACTCAGACCCGAGTTCTTACCAGGTTTTCAGGAATGTCAAGGATTTCGGAGCCAAGGGTGATGGTTTCACCGATGATACTGCTGCTATCAAGCAGGTTAATTTTGTTTATCCCAAGCATTAACTTACTCGTATCTCCAGCTCGGCCATGTCCTCCGGTGGACGTTGCGGCGGCGGATCTTGTGATTCTTCTACGTCAGTGCAAAGCGTCGCTGATTCTTCGTGAATACATTGACCGATTGTGGCATTTAGCGTTACTCCGGCTATCGTGTATTTCCCTGCGGGGTATGTTTGTTCGTTCACATCAAGAGATGCCTGCTGACCAACGGACAGGACTTACCTCGTCTCCTCGGCGATTGACACATACTACTACACTCAGATTATCGGAGATGCAAAGCAACCTCCAACTCTCCTTGCCAACTCGTCTTTCAATGGATTTGCAGTCATCGGTACCTGATCCGACATTTTCAGTGTGGACGCCGTCTTACATAAATTCTACCCAGATGCTGATCCTTACATTCCCAATGGCTGGGGCGCTCAATGGTTCACCAACCAGAATAACTTGTGCGCCATTTTTTTTCTCCGAACGGTGCAGCATAGCTCATGAACGTCTAGCTATCGTTCCATTCGCAACTTGATAATCGACCTTAGGCAAATCCCTGCATCGACTTCTGCAATTGGTTTGCACTGGCAGGTTTCGCAAGCCACTTCGCTCATCAATATTGTGGTCGAGATGTCCACTGCTTCTAATAACAAACACCAAGGAATGTTCATGGAGAATGGGAGGTGAGATACTCGCCTTCTTATCTTGATTCTTGATTCCCAACCTATCACTACCAGTGGTGGTTTTATGGGAGGTGAGCATTATAAATCTGTCTTCATACAAGAATGAGAATATCAAATTTACATGTCAGACATCATATTCAACGGAGGTAAATCCGTATCATCGCTTTAGTGATTTTTTTGTAACATTCTGTCAGGAAAGTACGGAATCCAAGTCGGTAACCAGCAGTTTACGGTTCGTAATCTGACGGTCAATAATGCCGCAACTGGTTTGTTCTCTCGTCTATCAATATGTTGTCATATACTGAATACACATATCGATCGGCAGCTGTCTCTGGCATCTGGAATTGGGGTAACGATCAGCTTATTGAAGCTATGCAGTTCTCACATTCTTCCAGGATTCGCATTTCAAGGAGTCACGATCAACAATTGTCAAGTATGCGTTGAACTTGTAAATATTACCACAGAGAATTGACAGATAACAGCTCGGCTTTGACCTGGCTACCGGTGGAACGACAATAAGCAATCAGGTTCGCCTTCACAAGTTTTGCATTTGCAAGTAGCTGAATACTCTCTAGACCGTCGGTTCAGAGGCTATCATCGATGCAGTTGTGACCAATACCCCCATTTTCGTTCGCTCTTCGGTAGCGAGCAATGGTCGATTGGCCGGCTCCCTCGTTCTCAATAACATTAAGTTGAACAATGTTACCACTGCAGTTGGTGTTGCAGACGGAACCACCGTTCTTGCTGGTGGTACCACGACAATCGCTTCCTGGGGTCAAGGAAACGTGTATTCTGGAACCAGTGGGTCCAAGAGTTTTGTACAAGGAAACATCGTATCTGCGAACAAGCCCTCTGTACTTTTGGATAGCGCTGGACGAATCTTTGGAAAGGCTCATCCTCAGTATGCGAACTACGCCGTCAATCAATTCATCAGCATGAAGAGCCAGGGTGCAAAAGGCGACGGTTACACAGATGACACTGCCATTATTCAAAACGTCTTTAATGAGGTGTGTTTTGTTACCTTGCCCCGCCGAAATCAAGTTGACACATTTCATCAGTACGCTGGATGCAAGATCATCTTCTTCGATGCAGGAACGTATTATGTGACCAATACCATCACCATCCCCGCCGGAGCTCAGATCGTCGGCGAAGCCTGGTCAGTCATCATGGCTGGTGGGAGTGCTTTCAGCGATCAGAAAAACCCTCGTGTGGTTATTAAAGCAGGTGCAGCGAACTCTCAAGGTGTCCTGGAGATCAGCGATATGGTCTTCACCACTGCAGGTCCTAGTACGCATGGAAATGATCTGTCTTATTTCTGAAGCTGATCTTTCACAGCTCCTGGTGCCATA